CACTATGATCACAAAACCATTCACCGTGGAGGAGTGGAAACTTATCAGTCTCTCTATAAAAAAAAACACAGGGGTGCCGGGCAGTGGTGACGCACACCTTTAATCCCAGCACTCGGGAGGCAGAGGCAGGCGGATCTCTGTGAGTTCGTGGCCGGGCTGGACCGACAGCCTCCAAAACAATACAGAGAAACGCTGTCATGTAAAAAACAAACAAACAAACAAAACCAAAAAACAAACAAACAAAAAAAAACCCACAGGCGCGAGGGGAATGGTTGAAGAAAAAGTAGAAAATACAGTTTGTTAGGTTGGAGCTTCTGCTTGCCCCTGCACAGTCCAGAAAGCCCCATTCCTGCCTCTCTTTCTCCAAATCCCACCCACCCAGAGAGTCTCCAAACAAAGGAAAGGAACCCAAAAGCCCAGTTCCACATTCTCCGCAGCTATTGCAGCCCCCCACCCCCCAAAGCTGCCAGCAGTCCAAGTGCCCGCCTGAGCGCTCAGCTTTTGATCAGCCTGCAGTTGACACATCACCCTGTAGGGAAAAAGGATCAGACAAAGAAACACACCCTGAGCAGAGCCAAAGAAACGCACTTTGGCCCTGCAGCCTGCAGCCAGAACCAAAGAAATACACCTGACCCTGAAACCAGTGCTAAAGAAACACACTTTGTACCTGGAATCAGAGCCAGTGAAAGAAATGCACCCTGGCCCTAAAACCAGAGCCAAAAGGCTAAAAAAGACCAGAGAAACACTTTGGCCCTAAAACCAGAGCCAAATCTGACCCTAACTCTATTGCAGAAAACTAACCAATCCTCGAGCAGGAGCTCTAGCTAATCTGAGCTCAGCATTGAAATCTGAACAATCCCCACGCTGGAAGTAACTCTGAGGTATCAGGAAAAGAAAGACCAGATGCCCAGCTGTTTGTACTAAGAAGTGTCTTTATTTTGCAAGTGCTAAGAGGTCTCTCTCTTGTAGGAGGTAGCAGTCTACAACACAGTAGAAAAACCCCAGGTGGAAGACAGCAAGTTTTCCTCCTGCTAGATGTTGATGTCATTGGGGCAATCCCGGGGCAGTAAGCCAGGACTAGGAAACAGGGTGCACCTGTGGCTATCAGCTGACAACTCAGAGACCCTCTGGGGGCTAGGTCCCAACAAATGAGTGGTCTGGAGATGACAGAGCTGAGGGTTTAGCTCAGTGTAGACTACTGGCCCTCAGTTAAATCCCCAGTGAAGGAACACACCTATATGCTGGTGCCCTTCTGGAGCTGGGCTTACAGGCGGTGTGTGGCCTGAAGCAGGTGCTCGGAACGGAACTCAAGTTCCCTGGAAGACCAAGAAGCACTCTTTAGCGGGTGATCCATCTCTTGGGCCCCACAATGATTCTTTATAAGACTAGCTTTGGTCACACTTTTACGTACACTATTGAACAATTCAGAAGCACCCTCTTCATGTTTTTTTCTGTTTCTTTGGGCGTCTCAAAAGAGCATTCGCTAATCAGTGTCTGTAACTCCTTTTCTACATTCTCATCTTCTGTGTATTTTGTGAGCACTAACTTCATGGCTAATAGCATAGTTTTAATAGAAATAAAAGTTCCTGTCCTCAGGAAACACATTCTATGTTAGAAACAATTTTTCAATCCCTTTAACCCCAGCACTCAGGAGGCAGAAGCAAGTGGGTCTCTGTGAATTCGGGGTCAGTTTGGTTTACAGAGCAAGTTCCAGGACAGCCAAGGCTACACAGAGAAACCGTAGCTCGAAAAACAGAAACAAAGAACACTTTAAATAATCTACGTGGATCCTGAAGATGTAGCTCAGTGACTGACTGAGGAACACTCTCCTATTCAGTGTGAAGTCTCACACCCAGGACAAATGGCTGGGCGCTGCCAGGCTCTCCCAGCATTCCTCAGTCCCCACCTCTCGTGTTCACTCTGGACTCCCCCAGATGTCGCTGCCTCTGGCTGTGCTCTCCCTCATATCTACAACAGCCCCTCTCCTCCACCAAACCTAGGAGCAGACACGTCCGTCCCTTTTTATTTCTTTTTTTTTAATTAATTAAGGACCTTGGTTCTTTTCCCAGCTCCACCAACGCCAACGTGAAATCTACTTGACTGAGGTCTGACTTAAGAAGAAACACTTGGCTTCTCCCTCTGGGACTCCAAGATGGGGAAGTCGCTCGCTAATTTCACGTGCAAAAAGGACTCCCATCCTGCATCCAAATCCAACAACGTCAAGGAGGTAATGGGTGGCAGAACAGAAAATATCATGTGATAAAAATAAAGGAGAAGAACTATAGCAACAGTACCTGAAAGAACAAGAGTCGTGCGATAACAGATTGCTCAAGGGAGATGAGCGTGTAAAGAACGGCCTGAATTTCATGTATGAGGCACCCACCAGGAGTCAGAAAAGGAAAAGAGAAAGAAGAAACAGAAGGAGAGACCTGGAATGCAAGTTGGAATGGCGGGAAGGTGCTCCGAGAGAGAAAGATGCCAAAGATGACACAAACATCCGAGACCAGCCCTTCGGTATTCAGGTTCGAAATGTAAGGTGTACGAAATTTCACAAGTGGGGTTTGTGAGCACAGATGGAGAATGTGCCTGGTTTGGTCTTTCTGGAATCAGCGCAAGCTCAGTTCCTGCTGATGGCTCAGGGCCGTCGGTGTGCACCCCTCAGAGCTAACAGCAGAGATGAGAAAACAGTGGGCTTGCCCTGAAACGAAATGTACTGGGGAGGGAGAAACTTGACCACAAATGATCCACCACAGGACTGTGTTGCACGTGATGTCGAAGAAGACCCTGGAGGTGAACTCTTGAAGCCCCTAGCAAGCAGACAGGAGCAGAAGCTCCTCGGGAAATTGCATAGACTTGAAAAGAAGAAAAAGAAAAGTGATAAGAAAAAGGGAAAGTTACAGAAGAGCAGAAGTAAATATATATATATAAAAACAGATCCCTTTCCTCCCCTTCCTCCTCTTCCTCCGACACTTCAGAAAGCAGCAGTGAGAGTGACGACACAGAAAAGAGAAAGAAAAGGAAGAAAACCAAATGTTCAGGAAGTAAAACGGATGACTCTGAAGAGGGTAAGTCTCAGAACAAACTTCACGAAGAACTTTCTAGCACTCACAGCGACAGGGGAAAAGACAAGGAAACATCAAGGCTTCCAAAACGAGAGAGAGTTCTGGGGAGAACAGCAACCGGGTCCCTTCTGGTTCTGACAGAAAAGTCCAGAAGCCATCGTCATAGTCCGGAGAGGAAAGGGTCTGGCAGAAACGGGGGCATCCGAAGTCATAGCAGGGCTGGGAGCAGCGGGAGAAGCCGAGGCAGGAGTCCTGGTAGTCACAGGCCAAGGGAGGTGAGGGACTGGCCCGGCCCCAGGGGAGCCCTACTGAAGAGCGCACCAGAAGACAAGACCCCAGAAGTCATGGCGATGGCGAACACCCAGGGGATAACGGGTCGAGTGACAAAAGGACGGCTCCTGGGAATAAAGGGCTCCATTTTCTTACTGCATAGCTTTAGCAAGGGCTCACCTGCACACTCTCATCTAACAATAATAATAATAATAATAAAGGCTTTTAATTTTCCATCTCTATAAACTGTCGTTTCAAGTATGGAAGCACCCGAGTACCCCTGGTCGCGCTCACAGGTATTTGCAGGGACTCTATTTAGAGGACAGAAAGCTTCGTTTCTGTTGGTAGCTTACGCCTTGCACCAGATTTAAAATATGCAAGTCATTGTGATTTTTGCAGTTGCTTTGGAACCCCATTAAAACAGTGACAACCTCTGAGTATTATCGATTCAAAAAGAAAGAAAAGGAAAGAAAGACTTAAAACCATCTGAGCTTGGGAGGACGCTGCTGGCTCGACGTAGATGTTCTGTTTCCCTGTCCCTTACGAAGCCCTCCCGCACTACCAGAAGACGGACACCCAGTCAGGGTTGCACAGTACCACCAAAGAGCAGCGAGGCCGCTCGCCTCCCACCGGAAGCTCCGCCCCTCCCTTTCACCCTGGAGTCACCTTTCAAGAGTCTTCCGGGAAGCTGCGCTGGGTGAGGCGGGCCGCCAAGCCCTCTGGCTCCGCCCCTCTCCGGGTCCCTTCCCCGGGGCCAGGACTCTTACCCGGAGGGGAGGGAAAAGGAGAGCGGCTTCCGGTCCCGCGGTGGGCTATGATCCCGCGAGAAGAGAGGACGCCTGTCTATCCCGGTCTGGTGGTGGAGGGGACAGCGGGGGCGTGGCCGGAGCGCGGAGGCCCAAGACGGAGGGGGCGGGGTTGTACGCATGCGCGCACGCTGCCGGCGGGGCGGGGCGGGGCTGAGAAGGGAGGGGGCGGCGGCTGTGGCTGTGGCTGCGGCTGTGTTGGCGGCGGCGGCGTCGTCGTTCTCTCCGCGGCGCGGACGGTGCGTGGTGGCGCGGGTGGTCGTGAGGGAAAGAACCCGGAGAGGCCGTGTGTGTGTGTGTGTGTGTGTGTGTGGCCGGCCCGACCTCGCAACTCGCGTGTGGCGTTACGCCGGGGAGCGGGAGGGGGGAGTAGCGCGCGCCGCGAGGCCCGGCCGTGCCGGTGTCGCCCGGACGACGAGGGCCGCCCGGTGCCGGTGCCCCCCCGTCCTCTCTCCGCCTCCCACCCTGCGCCGCGAGCGCCTTGCAGGGCGAGCCCTCCAGGCGTGGGATGCTCGGCGGCGGCGGCTGCTGCGTCGAGAGCCGGGCTCTCCGGGCCTGTTTGCCGGGGCGAGCTCGTGGGAAGCAACCGAGAGTCCTGGCGGGCGGGCGGGCGGGAACCTCGGTGCGCGAGCAGCTCCAGCAGCCGCCGCGTTCAGCGTGAGGGTCTGATTGCACGGAGCTCGTCTTTGGCGTGCCCGTCCGGACTTGAGGAAGTCCTTTTCACCGAGAGCTTAGGTAGCCCCGGAGAAACACCGTTCTGCCGGAAAAAAACCCTGTCCCTCCCGCTCCGTCTCACGCCAGTGTTCACTCCGCAGGCCATAATGGTTATGAAAACCGCGGTAGACGACGACTCGGGATGGGAGCTCGGTGTCCCTGAGAAAATGGAAAAGAGTAACGCGAGCTGGGTGGACATAACCCAGGATTTTGAAGATGCTTGTCGAGGTGAGTTTGAATGTTTGGGCTACCGGTTCGAAAGTAAAGTCGTATTTTGTGTTTTCTCGGCTTGCCCTGTTTTCAGAACAAAGCAGATCAGGCCTGTGATTTTTTTTAAATCACGTTTGTGGTCGTTTTGTTTTGTTTTGAGAAAGTCTCCTGTAGCCCAGACTGACAGAGAAGTCTCCTGTGGAGGGTGACCTTGAATCCCTGCCCCTCCTGAATGCTGAGATTACAATCATGACAGATTCAGCTTTGTGAACCCAAGCTTTACTCTGCTCTCTGCTTTTAAGTTTGGTCTAAAGCCAGTGTGTATCTGGTAAGACATTAAATGCGGATGTTTAGACTTTTTTTTAAAATTTCTTACTTAGGTGTTTGCATGCATCGTGCACACGGATGCCGGGATAAGGTATTGGGTCCATTGGAGATGTGGTTACGGGCCTTTTTCTGGGATCCTGGCTGTCGCTGGAATGCAAACTCTCTGGTCCTGCTGATTTTTGCACCAGATGTTCTTAACTGCTGAGCCGTCTTTCCCCCTAAGTTTCTGTAACCTTAAGAGGTTAGATAATACATGACAGCCAGAGGCAGAAGCCGGCCGGCCTCTGAGATCAGGGCCAGCCTGGTCAGTATGGTTCCAGACCAGCCAGGGCTACAGAGCGAGAGAGGGGCCCTCCCTCACCAGAAGAAGGGAAACCAAGATGCTAGCATGAGGGACAGTGCTGTCCAGCTGTGGAAGCACTTGCTGTATTGGGCAAAGGACTTGTTGCGTGTCTGAAGTTTTAAAATGATGACATCCCGCTGCTCTCTTAAGATCCTCTCATGGCTTCCTACTGGAGTAGAATAGAAGTCCAGACTCCTTCCGCAGGGTCTCCTAAGCCCCAGGCCCTGCTCCCTGCTCTGTCCTTTCCAGTCACCCCCATCTCACTGAACACCACACTGCCTTGCCAGAGCCCTTTGAATTTTGTTTACTCTACCTTAAGCTACTTTGCATCTGACTGTCAGGCAGTTGAGTGAGTTTTGTGTGAGGTCGCCCTCCCAATGAAGAGCTCAAAAGACAGCTGTAAGCAGATCAGCTGAGATAAACTCAACAGAATCACCGTGTTTTACTTTCTTCAGTGGTTTAGTCTGTCAGAAGCCATAATTGTAGATATTTGTTCCTTATTGTGAGCCTTACCTATCGTGATGTAAGTTTGATAAGGGTGGTGATCATGTGTGTAATCCTAGACTATAAAGCTATCTATGGCACACAGTAGGTCCAATGTTCGGGAATAACTGGGTTCAGTGTCGCACACCGGTAGTCCCAGCTATTCAGAAGTTGAAGCCCAGGAGTTCAAGATCATTCTGAGGCTTGTAGAGACTTCCCTCTACAATAGTCACCTTTTCCAAGCAGTAAGTGTTTGTAAGTAAGTGATTAGAAACATGGGTGTGTTTGTTGTTTATGGGAGAGGCTGGAGCAAGCATTAGGGAGAGCTTGAGCTGCAAGGATGGAAGTGGTAAACTCAGATGTTAGGAATTCATTCCCAATCCATCTGTTTCCCAAGGCTGGGTCTGTGGTAATACTACGGCGGTCTTGAATATTGCTTTGAAGGAGTGCGGTGACACCTTGGTGCAGTGTCACATACAAAGGAAACCAGCTAAGTGTAAGCCAGGTGATGGGTCACGTGCTACCCCCTTACTGTTGGAACTGCACGTCAAAGTGTCTCAGTGCAGGGAGACCCCCATATGTCTCCTGCTGTATGTCTTCCAGAGGGAGACATACATGTTATGTGGTAGATTTTACGCTCAAAAGTTTGGGTGATTAAATGGTTCACATGTCTCATCGTGTGGTTTTTGCTCTGTTTTTTAAAGTCATCTGTGTAAGAGGGGTGCTTTCATGAACCCAAGTGAGAAAGTTGTTCTTAAAGGAAAGGCCACATTTCTGTAGAAGATGAGGAGATTGCCCTAGATTGAGGTAAACCATTCGAGTTCATTAAGAATTTTTGTTTTGGTGATGCCGAGTAATTCTGCTTGGCTACAGAACGGTTTCTAATGAAAATTTGCATGCCATTGGTTTTGTTTGATTGGTTTGAGCTTGTTGTATTGACAGTAGGAAGGGTTTTGAGCCCGAGATTGTGCATGTAGTCTCCTTGATGTCGTTGTAAACTTTTTAGTCCACTGATTTAAACACTAGCATGCAGAATAGTCTGTTTCCTTATCCCATTTCACACATACTCAGTTAACATCCCTCCCTAGCTCCCCTCCATCCTGCCTTGTCACTTATGTCTTGTTGTGCTCCAAAGCTCCTTTCTTTAAAGACTCTTCCTGCCCCTCTGTGGATCCTTTTCTGGTTCCATGACCTCCATGACACATACATGTGAAACAGACAGTACACATGGTGTTTGTCTTTTTGAACCTGAGTTACCTTATATAACTTGTTTTCTACTACCCATTTTCCTATAAATTTCATTTTTCCTCATGGCTGAGCAAAATTCCAGTGTATGCGTATCCATTTTCATTATTTGTTCGTCTGTTAGTGGACACACAGGCTGCTACCGTTTCCTTGCGGTTGTGACTGGAACAGCAGTATATGTGAATGGAGGTGTCTGCGGTGAGGTGAAGAGTCCTGGGGTTTGTGCCCAGGCTTCAAGCAAAGGGTAGTGTGATAACTGTAGTTTGTCTGTCTGTCTCCTCCCTCCTTCCCTCCCTCCCTCCTTTATTGGAATCCTCCACGTTGGTTTCCATGTTGGTGTGTCAGGGTTCACTTCCATGAACAGTAAACTAAGGGTTCTGGATTTCCTTACGTCCTCACCAGCATTTGTTATTGTTTATTTTCTTGACAATAGTCATTCTGACTAGGGTGAAATGTAGTGGCACAGTAGTTTTAATTTGCATTTCCTTAAGGATAAAGGGTGCTTATCATTCTTGTAAGTTACTGACTACTTGTGTTTCTTTTGAGAATGGTCTGTTCAGTTCATTATCCCATTTCTTGTTTGATAGCTTATTCTTTTGATGTTTAGCTTTGGAGTTCTTTATTCCAGATGTTAACCCTGTCTGAAGAATAATTCGCAAGGGTTTTCTCTCAGTTGGTAGGTAGGCTGTGTTCCCTCTATAGACGGTTTCTTTGCGGCTCCTGGTGCTCCTCCCTGTGTGGCTGTCGCTCTAGTCAGGGAGTTCTTGCCGACACCTACATCTGGGGTGTCTGTCCCGATCTGTTTTAGGGTTGTGGGTTTGCAATAAGGTCTTCAATCTACTTTGAGTTGATTTTTGTACTGGGTGAGAGATAAGGATCTAATTTCATTCTTTTGCAAATCAATACTCGGTTCTGCCAGTACAATTATTGAATAAGCTGCCTTTTTCCAGTGTTATGATTTTTGATACCTAAGTTCAAAAATTAGGTAGCCATAGCTGTGTGGGTTTACTTATGGGTCCTCTGTTCTGTTCTGTGGGTCTAAATGTCAAGTTTTTTGCTGTTACTATGCTATCTTTTGCACTGTGGCTGTGTAGTAGAGTTTAAGGACAGGCATTATGATGTCTCCAGCATTGTTCTTTTTGATGAGAATTGCTTTGTCTATCTGTGGTCTGTGTTTCCGTATGAATTTTAGGATTGTTTTTTCTAGTTCTGTCATGAATGTTATTGGAAATTTAATGAGGATTACATTGTAGATTACTTTTAGAAATGTTATTTTCACAATTAATGTTAGTAGATGTATTGGTTAGTTTTTGTCAACTTGACCCAAACCTAAATTTACTCAGGAAGAGGAAATATCAGTTGAGGAATTGCCTGTCCTGTGGAGAAGTCTGTAAGGCATTTTCCAGATTAATGAGTGTTGTGGCATGGCCCAGCACAGTGTGGGGGTGCCGCCCCGGGCAGGTGGGCATGAGCTGTATAAGAAGCAGGCTGAGCAAGCCATGGGGAGCCAGCCAGTGAGCGGTGCTCCTCTGGGATGTGAGAGTCAGCCACTGGGATGTGAAAGCACATAGACCCTCTCCTTTTCCGCACAGAGAGCCTCTGGTCTTTGTTCTTGTCACAGCAACAGAAGGCAAACGAGGGCAGTAAGATGTATGCATCTAGAAATTAATCCATTGTTTTTGTTTGTTAGTCCCTTTTGTTTGAGGGGAATGTTTCCTGCTTAGCAGGATGTAAGGTTGTTTTTGCTTTGGTTTGATTTTTTTTTTGAGCAGGGTTTCCTCTGTATAGCCCTGGTTGGCCTGGAACTCAGAGATCTGCCAGCTTCTTCCTCCCGGTGCTGGGATTAAAGTCGAACACCACCATGCCCAGTGGGATATAAGTCTTCGAAGTCTTTTTTTTTTTTTTTTTTTTTTTTTTGGTTTTTCGAGACAGGGTTTCTCTGTGGCTTTGGAGGCTGTCCTGGAACTAGCTCTTGTAGACCAGGCTGGCCTCGAACTCACAGAGATCCGCCTGCCTCTGCCTCCCAAGTGCTGGGATTAAAGGCGTGCGCCACCAACGCCCGGCTAGTCTTCGAAGTCTTATCCCCCAAGGACCTGGATTTCATTAGTCTGTGTAACAGCTCTTTTCTCATCACTGATTTTATGAGTTGGGGTCTTTTCTTTGCGTTAGTTTTGCTAGAGGTTTGCCAGTCTTGTTACTTATTTCAAAGGACCAGTTCTCTGCATTGTTCTTTTGCTCTCTCTCATTTAGTGTCTGCCCCACGTTGTCATTTACTGGTGTTGGGGTGAGTGCCTTACCCACTGAGCCATCTCCCCAGCTGCTGGTTTTAACGTGAGCGCTTGTAGAGCTGAGCTTTCTTTCTAGGCTGGCATGGCCATGCCCAGACTCTGGGGGGCTTGCTCTTTTGTGATTTCCTTCCTGATTCTCTCAGTGACTTCCTGCTCCTGCCAAAGTGTGTGGTGTTTGTATATTGGGGGTGGGGGTAGCCGTGCGTTTATTTTATCCTTCCTTCCTTGGTCTTGTGCTAAGTTTTGCCAGCTTGACACAAAGTGGGTTCACCTGAGAAGAGGGACGTTAGTTGAGAAGTTATTCCGTTGCATTGGCTTCCAGGTGCATCTGAGGGCAGCTTCTTGCCAGCTGCTTGGCGTGGTGTGGGAGGGCCTGCCTCACGGCCGGCGGGCGGGTGGGTGGGCCTGGGCTGCACAAACCAGCCAGAGAGACAAGCCCCCTCCACTGTCTGCTTCTGTCCCTCCAGGGCGCTGCCCTGAGCTCCTGCTGTCCTTCCCTCCCAAGCAGACTGTCGCCCGCCCGTAAGCCAAGGAAGCCCTTTTCTTCCCCAAGGTCCTTTTGGTCAGTGTTTTATCATAGCCACAGAAAGCAAAATGTGGAGATCTGATAAGATTGGGGGCAGGTGCATAGAGATGACTCAGTGGTTGAAGAGCATTGACTGCTCTTGCAAGAGGGTCAGGGTTTGGTTCCCAGCACCCATAGGGGCCCACAACATCTGTAACTCCAGTTGCAAAAATAAGATGCTCTCTTCCTGCATTGATGAGCTCTAGGCAGACATGTGTTGTACTTGCAGGCAAGCAGTTATCCAGATTTAAAAAGAAGAAAGGAGGGTTTTTATTTTTGTTTTTTTTTTTAACGAGTATTTGTCTTGGGGCTTATGTTGCTGTGATAAAATAGTATCACCAAAAGCGACTCAGCCTGCTTTTTTTTTAACAGCAGCTGGCAGTACTTGCACGTGCCCCACAGTTAGCATCTCTTAAGCCTAATTCCCGTTCCTGATGCTGTGAATGAGTGGCACCTGTAGGCTGGTGTGTTTAAATGTTTGGTTCCCAGTTGGTGGGTGGGGTAGGAAGGATTAGGTGTGGCCTTGAAGGCTTTGCAGCTCGCTCTTGCTAGCTCTGTACCTCCCGCTTGTGAACACACACGGTGTGAGCTCTCAGCTGCTGCCTCAGCACCTTCCTCACTAGCCCTGCCCTGCTTCCCACCATGATGGAAATGGGCTCTCTCTGGAGTCAAGTTCCCAGGACTACCAGTTAAATGGTTCCCTTCACAAGCTGCTTTGGCTGTGAGGCCTGCTAGCTAGTTTAATATTAATTTGACAGAAGCTACACTCATCTGAGGGGAGGAATCTCAATTTAGAAAAGATCTGCGTAAGACCAGGCTGTAGGCAAACCTGTAGGGCATTTTCTTTTTTTTTTTTGTTTTTGTTTTTGTTTTTGTTTTTTTGTTTTTACGAGACAGGGTTTCTCTGTATTGTTTCGGAGGCTATCGGTCCAGCCCGGCCTCGAACTCACAGAGATCTGCCTGCCTCTGCCTCCCGAGTGCTGGGATTAAAGGCGTGCGCCACCACCGCCCGGCGGGCATTTTCTTAATTAGTGATTTGGGGGTGGGAGGACAACTCATTGTGGGTGGTGTCACCCCTGGGCTGGTGGTTCTGGGTGCTTTAAGAAAGCAGGCTGTGCAAGCCTTAGGGAGCAAGCCAGTGAGCAGCATCCTCCATGGCTTCTGCATCAGCTCCTGCCTCTAGGTTCCTGCCCTGTGTGAGTTCTGTCCTCACTGCTTTTGATGACAAACTGTTAACATGGAAGTTCAAGTGAAATAAACCCTTTCTCCACAATTACTTTTAGTAATGGTGTTTCACCAAAGCAATAGAAACCCCAGCTCGGAGAGCGTCTTCACAGAGAAGGAACAGTGTGGCAGACACTGCTTCTGACCTTACCCGCTGGTCTCTCTTTGCTAGCTGACCCATCTCACTGGCCTTTTTTTTTTTTTAACCACTAGGATCCTTTTGAAAATAATGTTTCTATAATGGGATTTTTCTCCTATGCTCATAACCATAGATTTCGTCTTTCATGATGTCAGATATCTCAGAATAACCACTTGTGCTTATTATTTTAAACTGACAGAGAGAGAATGAGGGTGGTGGTGGTGGTGGGGTGTGTGTGTGTGTGTGTGTGTGTGTGTGTGTGTGTGTGTGTGTGTGTGTGTGTACAGCTCGCAGGAATCAGTCCTCCACCCGTGTGGGTCCTGGGGACTTGAGTCATCAGGCAGTGACTGCCTTGCTTGTTGAGCCATTGTGCCAGCCATTGTTACCTCCTCTTGTCCTGTGAAGTGTCCAGTTCCTCTGCTGGGTGTTTGAGCCCAGATATTCCCTTCTCTGATCCATTGTACTTTGTTCAGATCTTTTTATTTGGTTATTATGTTTTTCATTTCCACCATTTTATGTTGGATTTTCTTCAGTATCTCTTTGTTGAATCCCCTTTCATATTCTCCATCACCTTCCTTATTTCTTTCTGCTGTTTGTATTTTTGTACATTATTTTTTTAAGATTTATTTTATGTATGAGGGCTCTATCTGCATGTACACCTTTATGCCAGAAGAGGGCACCAGATCTCATTGCAGATGGCTGTGAGGCACCTTGTGGGTGCTGGGAATTGAATCAGGACTTCGGGAAGGGCAGTCAGTGCTCTTAACTACTGAGCCAGCCCTATTTTTGAACATTCTTAAAATCATCTTTTAAATTCTCTGGGATTTCATCTAGTTCACCCTAAGTGGGTACCATTCCTGGAGGATTAGAAAATTTAGAGGAGCTGTGTTATGCCTATGGAGGTTATAATTAACTAGTAAAAAGAGGAAGGGATAAGGGTGACATGTAGTAAGAATGGTAAGGAAGACCTTTCCTGTAAGCTGGGTGGTGAGGCATAAGAACAGTCCTAAACCTTACTGAGTAACATACAAGCAAACAAAACCATCATGAGACACGTGTGATCTGGGCCAGAAAGAAGGTTGTTGTGTAATGACAGGGTCTGAGAGAAAGGACCAGGGGATCAGAAAATAAAGAAGATAGGAAAGCTGGCCTCAGAAGGTCTTTCACAAGCAAGGTCTTGCCAAGAAAGTTCATTAACAAGTACAGCATCTCTCATACACAGTTTGCAGAAGCAAAATGGACAGAGTCAGCAGGAAGGTAATTGAGTAATGCTACTCAGAGACACAGGATGTCTCAGGTGTGCCTCAGATCTAAGGTTCCTTGAGACTGATGACCACAGCCCTTCAAGGAGTGGGAAAACTGAGTTCCCAGGATCCAAAACCATAGCTCCCCAAAGGCCCTGGCCCCAGGCTATTACTGGCCTTGCTGAGCATGGTCCTGGTTTTAGCCAAGGAACTAAGTTCCTTCTTGTATATCAGGGCTTCAGGAAAAGTCCTGGGACTGGACTGGCCCTCAGCACACATGACAGGAGTAGAGATAAAATCGTAGGAAGTAATCAGTCAGAGGGTATTTGTGGGGTGAATTTGCTGGCACAGATGTGCTGGTCTGAAAGGTGAAGCCCTTGGATCCTCCAGCTCAGCAGGCCCAGGCGCCGTGTGAAGGCACAGGAGTGGGAGTCTCTGTCTCTGCAGCCTTCTTGTCCTCTGAGGTCTCGGAGTGTGGGAGAGGGGAGCTCGTAGGCTCTTTCCTGGTAGATCCCTTAAACCCCCCCCCACACACATACATACACACACACACCACACAAACACACCATACTCACACCGAGTCCACCCACACATACACACACACACACCACACACATACACACACACACCACACACACACACACACACCACACACATACATACACACATACCACACACACACCACACACACACCACACAAACACACCACACACACATACCTCACACCGAGTCCACCCACACATATACACACACACACCACACACATACACATACATACACACCTACATTCACACATACACACACACACCATACACACACATACACACACCATACACACACATACACACACACCACACAAACACACCACACTCACACCGAGTCCACCCACACATACACACACACCATACACACATACACACACACCACACACATACACATACATACACACACACCACACACACACCACACATACACACACACACCACACACACACACACACACACACACACACACACACACACACACACACACACACCGCACACACCGAGTCCACCGTGGCCTCTTCTGGTTACTGGACTGTGTGTGAGGAGCAGCACTTCTTGTAGTTTCTACTGTGTTCCCTCTGGCATCTTCCGATTGTTCCCCCTCCCTTCATCCTCCCACCTCATCCCCCAGCATTCCTCACTCTTCACCTGTGATTGGCCAGAGTAGAAAACCAAAGTTGACATTGAAACTTTCTGACACTTTCTGCCAGTGAGTTCTGTCTTACATCTGAACATTGAAATCATTGAGACTGCTTTAGAAGCATTGTTGGAGTCCCATGTGGGGTTGGCTGGTTTGGAATGGTGTTTGAAGGTCAGGTTTAGAATGATCTCTGCTTCATTTTAAAACTCGACTTTGAGGACTTTGTCGTTGTCGTCCCTGTGGTCCTCATCATCCTTCTGTGTGTGCCCCCACCCACCCCAGTCTCTGCTGCTTTCTCTCCTTCCCTTTGTTGGATGGAACTAGATGTGGTGCATGCCTGGTGATTGCTTTACAACTGACCTTCGTGTCCAGCTCATGAACTCTGTTTGGATTCGCAGTTCACTCAAAGTGTTTTGTACATTTAAGTAAAATTGAATCTTTAAGTGTGATTTTACCATTGTTCCTGTAACAACAAAGACTAAATGTTGACCCTGTGTTGTTTAAAAACAACCAGAGAGGTAGCAGTTGTTTCTGTGAGAAAGTTTATAACATGGTAAACTACATTAGTAACTTTAAAAATGATTTTTAAATTTGTGATACTTATTGGAATATTAAGATGGTCACTTGCTTGTTAATTTTCAATTTTGTTTTCTTTTCTTCACCTACTTTATAAAGATCTTGAAAGCACCACTGTGATTGAGTGATAATCAATCCTTAGAAATCAAGCATTTTGTGTTAGTGTTGAAACTTAAACCTCATTGTGTATTATTCAAGTAACTTTTCACTTTTATTCTTTTAGAACTGAAGTTGGGAGAACTGCTTCATGATAAGCTGTGAGTATCAGTGTGCTTTGAAATAGTGTAATACTTTAATCTTGTTTTCTCATGTAGAATATTCCTTGAAGTCCAAGTCAGTTTATGCCACAAAGCTGTGAAAATGAGTTATGAATACAATTTCAACTTGAGTGAGCTGTCTTGAGTGGCTGGCCTGGTTAAGATGTGAAACTTAACAATGTGGGTCCCTTTTCATGAAGGTGGACACACTGAGAGCATGGGATTTCTTGAAGAAAACTGTCAGTTGTGTGTCTAGTGTGGCAGCTCTATTGATGACTGAATGCTGGTGTGGAAGAAAATTGAAGACCCCCAAGAGAAACAAAAGGAAGTACTACTGGCTGTTGATGTTTTTCTGTTTGTTCCCCCATGGTGCTGAAAACACACTGCGGCCAGGCTACTTCAGGGTGAGGACTACACAATCTTGAGTTAGCAAGTAGATACAATTAGAACTGCCTGGTTGACTGGAGGAGCAGGAAGAGGCTGAAATTTGCTCTTAAAACCTTATTCTTTGCATGCTAACCTAGAAAACTTTCAAAACACCTGGCTGGATCCAAGTTGCATATTTGGTAAGTCAGCTTGAGAACAGTGAATTTGCAACACCTTCCCAAGTGAGATAAGTAGCTAATCTAATGGAGAGCTGTCTTAGTTTGGGTTTTTATTGCTGTGAAAAGACACCATGACCACGGTACCTCTCACAAGCAGAACATTTCATTGTGGTGGTGTTTACTTAGAGTTTCAGAGATACAGTCCATTATTGTGAAGGGGAACATGGCAACACACATGCAAGCAGACAGCAGGACGTGGACTGAGACATCGGGCAGAATCCTGGGTATAGGAAACCTCAAAGCCTGCCCCTACCATGACACACTTCCTCCTATAAGGCCATCCCCACTCCAGGAAAGTCACACCTCCCAATGGTGCCACTCCCTATGAGATTATAGGGGCCAATTGCATTCAGGCCACCACAAGAATTTAGAATATTTCTGCAGTTGCTTTTTCCCTTATAACTTGTAGATTATCAGAGAAGGGTTTTGTTTTCTTGTTTTGCAGGTTTAGAATGTAAATCTGATTTTTCAAATTGTATGAATATATTAGGATTTTCCCATGTGATAAGTGGTTTTTCTCAACAGTGTTGACTGGTGTTTCCAGTAGTGTGAAATTCCTTCTTTTTGCTTAATTCCCATAGAACCTGGGTATGGACTGTTCATAGAGTTACATTATTCTGTGTTTTCTGCACTGTAAGCATATGGCCAGAGTGTATTGACCTGAACATTACATTAGTGTCACAACAGGAAGTTTGTCTCCATGGAGTTTATTTTGTTTCTTTAAAACTGGGTGTTGAACCCAGTCATTTCATGTACTGGGCAGGCTTTTTACCATTGAGTTACGTCACCCGCCCTTAAAGCTCTTTTCTACATGTTTCTGTTGGCTTTTAGTGTGTGTATTTAGTATTGATTCTGTTGAAGACTAGCAATGCAGAGTGATGGGGCAACGGTTAGTCAGGCTGTTAGCTAGGTCTCTTGAGGCATATCCCAATTCTTTCTTATCAGTTTCCAGTATATAGTAACTATTTTCCATGGTGAATAGTCAGAACTTCTGGATTGTTTTACATTGTATAATTGCCAAAATGTTGGACTTTGTAAATCAATTATCGTATCATTAAGATATGAAGAAAATGAAACTACAGTTGGGGAGATGTCTCAGTTGATAAAGTGTTTGCCTTGTAAATATGTGGACCTGAGTTAATCTCTAGAATCCTGTAAAATCCAGAAATGGGGAGGCAGAGACAAGAGGGTAACTGGGGCATTGCAGCCAGAGAGCCAGCTTAATTAGTGAGCTCCATGCCAGTAAGAGATTCGTGTCAAAGGATGACACCTGAGCCCATCCTCCAGCTTACGTGCACACACAGCATGCACATGCATGCACATGCATGCACATACATGTGTACACAAGCACCCACACATTCAAAAAAAGATACATGGAAAATGAAAACAATCACACATGACAGCTTATTCTGAAAGTTAAAGAAAATGACTTAAGGAGTATGAAGTTGTTGGGCAGGGGTTGGTCTCTTTTTTCCAGAGCTGCTGATCCGAGTCCTGTTGAAAGGAGCATAGGGCGTTCTCATTCTTTCCTCCTCAGAATGTGAAGGGTAGTGCGTATAGTGAGCACATGAATTATGTGCTAAATGATGACTAATTGAAATGGAAATTTTAGCAAATTATACATATAATACAAATAAATATGTGGAATACTGTAGTTGTTAAAGTACCATGATAAATCATGTGCCATTGTAGAAATCTGGTTTCAAAAACGGCTTGTGGGTTCATTTATTTGTAGATTTGGTCTTTTTGAAGCCATGTCTGCTATTGAAATGATGGATCCCAAGATGGATGCTGGTATGATTGGAAACCAAGTGAATCGGAAGGTTCTCAATTTTGAACAAGCTGTCAAGGTAGTTACTGTATTTTCTATGTCCCTGACCTTTTCTCCTTCTTCTTTTTGTTTTTTTTTTTTTTGAGACAGGGTTTCTCTGTGGCTTCAGAGGCTGTCCTAGAACTAGCTCTTGTAGACCAGGCTGGTCTCGATATCACAGATATCCTCCTGCCTCTGCCTCCCGAGTGCTGGGATTAAAGGTGTGCGCCACCAACACCAGCTTGTCCCTGATTTTTTAATGTTAAAATGTGCTTGGCCAGGCAGTGGTGGCGCACGCCTTTAATCCCACCACTCAGGAGGCAGAGGCAGGTGGATCTCTGTGAATTCAAGGCCAGACTGGCCTACAGAGTGTTTTTCTGGACAGAGAAACCCTGTTTTGAAAAAACATCAAAACCCATGCTTAACAGTGAAATTATACAGGCTGTTGAACTGTGTTCTTGAAGCCTCTCAGACACAAGAATTAGCGTACTTTAAAGCAGGTATGATGGCTCTTCCCTGTAGGCTCAGCACTTGGGAGGTGGAGGCAGGGGGAATCAGGAGGACCCAGATCACCCTGGTCTCCACATGACTCCTCAGACAGAACAAGAAACAGGATTTTCTTCCTAAGAACAAAAATTAAGTTGGCGTTTTGGTTTTATCAGATGTTAGTGTTTTCTTTGAATTATTTGTTTTAATAAATACCTAATTTTAAAATGCAAACACAGGTGTACATAATAACTTTTTTAAACTTTCTGTTTGTATGCTTCCTCCTTTATAGGACGGCACCGTCAAAATTAAAGATCTCACCTTGCCTGAATTGATAGGAATAATGGATACCTGTTTTTGCTGTTTGGTAAGATTTAAAACAAGACTGTTTGCTAAACTGTGGCTTACCTGAATCTTTGAATTCAAAGTGTGTGCACCATATTGAATATGAAACTATGAAGAGTCAGGCCTCAGAAGCAGACACAGGACTCCCGGGCTAAGCTAAGCCACAAGAAGTGCTTCGTCCTCCGGCCGGCACGGCTGTGGTCACGTGTTGTGTTAAGTGGGTGCTTTGTTTCAGTGAAGATAGGACTGCAGCCATTATCCAGATGCTGCTTTGTTTCCAAGTTATCAAGGAAAATCTGTAATTGAGGTTCCATGAGATGAGCATGGTTGAAAGTGTGGACTAGCTTTGGAGATACGCTTTGCTGCTCTAGGACAGACTTGTCATGAACTAGCTGTCCTCTGCAACAAAAGCATTCTAGTGACTTACCTGTGCAGGATACGTTTTCTCGTGTGTGTGTGTGTGTGTGTGTGTGTGTGTGTGGCATTTGTTGACTTGTCCATTAGGCAGTATTGGTAATGGAGTGTGTCAGAAGCACATGCACACTAGTGGTTGTTGACGTGTGCTGCTTTCCACCTAGGCCTTGCTTATTGGAGGCTCCAGCATCTTACTGTGATGCCTGAGGCTGCGGTGCTGAAAGGGGTACAAGCAGAGTTCTGTCTCTGTCTTGAAAGATTTATTGCTTTTAGTAATACACTCTTCCTAAAGGCATAGGGAAGGAAGATTGCTGGGAACAGATGTGCAGAGAAACAATCCTGATAACTAGACAGTGGTTTTGGATGTTGTTACATGGGATTGTGAAGAGCCCAGGCCTTTGACCGGAATGTTCATAGCACTGTTGTCAGAGGGAGGACTGTGCAGGCAGAGCCAGAATGGATGTTATCCCTGTAGAAGGATGGAGAGGCAGGCAGAGGGAGCAGTGTCTTCAAAGCTGAGCACAGCTGTGTGCGACTGCAGACTGTTTCCCAGAGTCGGGGCTTTAAAGACACAGTCTTTATCATCCGGAAAATCTTCTGCAGAACCATCATTCTCAGTTCACACCTTAATTATGTCATTTCCCGTCCATCTCTCACTGTATCTTCTAGTGACATGTTCTCCTGCGGCTGCATAGTCCTTGGGTGTTACAGTAAAATGCAGCAGTATAAACCTGGGGAAACTTATCTAAATTTGCTGACTTTGCTCCCTTGCATGTGGAAGGAGGAAAATCACCTCTTTTCTAAAAAGACTAGAGAAGCATGGGTGAGATGCATGAAGAGTGTCGAGCATAATTTTGGCAAGATGGCAGTTAGAACTGACTTGGCTTTCCACCCTCTAGCTTACGGAGAAACAGGGTTGATGTTTATCTTTGTTGTGGGAAGGTCCTTCTTGTTGGAGTAGAGAGTCCTGTATGGGAGGCAAGAGCACTGTAGTGTGGTTTATGTAATGATGTAAAGGAGACTGTTCTGGTGTTGAGTTAGTGATGGACCTGGTCAGTTGTCAGACTGAGTTCCCTAACATGTAAGGTTTTACTGATTGCATTGTGGAATTCTTTGCTTTTGAATGCTATATGGTTTCTCCACTTTGATTAGACACTAAGATGTTGTAGACTGGATTATCAGGTTTAAGGCTGTTTCTCATAGATGGCTAAGCACTTCAGTGCAGAAGGAGCACTGTGTTGTGAAAATCTGAACTATAGAGTCCTTAGAGCACTTAGCTTTATGCACAGAGGAGTTTCTTGTTCCAAAGTGTTTTGGAGACTCAGACTATATAGGTTTCTTAAACAGTGTAGCCAGGAAGCAAGTCCTGTCTTCTGTGGCATTCTCCTTAATTATCTTCTCAATCTCACGATTAATTATACTGATAGGGGTCTAGGACTCTGACTCAGTTTAGACATTGCAAACCTGTATACCGCTGTAAGTGATTAATCCATTCCTTCTCTCTCTGTCACAGATCACATGGCTAGAAGGCCATTCCCTGGCACAGACAGTATTCACCTGTCTTTACATTCATAACCCAGACTTCATAGAAGATCCTGCCATGAAAGCTTTTGCTCTGGGAATCTTGAAGATCTGTGACATTGCAAGGGAAAAAGTAAATAAAGCTGCTGTTTTTGAAGAGGTAAAGAAACCCGGAAGCTCATTGGCCATCTTACCTTGCTGTAGATGAATGATTCTGTGATGCATATATATGTATGATGCACGCCGATGTCCACATGTATAGCTAAGGAATAGTAATTAAAACGCCTTCTGGCTTCATAACGGGAAGGTGTGGGTGGGTTGTCACTGGGACCTCCATCTCCCCAATAAACCACACAGACTTATTAATTAAAAGTGCTCTTGGCTGATAGCTTAGGTTTGTTACTGACTCGGGCACCCCCAACTTGTTTTGTTTAACCCACAGGCTATCAAATGTCCTATTGCCATTTTTCTTTGAGTGATGCTACTTGAGAGTACTTAACCTCTAGACCACTGACAAGCAGCTAAAGCCAAGGACAGAAAGCAGTATTTAATGTCTAGGTATCTGATTGTGTACCTACAAGGAAGGCTAGCTGTATAATGGCAGTATCGAGACGTGCTGTTTCCAAGTAAATAGTCACTTTGTTAGAAAAACACGGTTGCTGCTATCCAAGAGCATAATCCCTCCTTTTTTGTTTAGGAAGATTTCCAGTCAATGACATACGGATTTAAAATGGCCAACAGTGTGACAGATCTTCGAGTTACAGGTATAAGCCATTCACAGAGAAAAATCACAACAGTACTTTGTAGGTTTTGTATTTTGCTTGTTTTAAAACTTAATGTTCTCATTCTAGGAATGCTGAAAGATGTGGAAGATGACATGCAAAGGAGAGTAAAGGTCCGTTTTCCTTCCCTTTGGTTTAGGGCTTGATTGGTTTTTTTTGAAACAAGGTTTGACTGTGTAATTCTGGCTGGCCTGGAAGTCACTATGTAGACCAGGCTGGGCTTGAACTCACTTCACTCTGCTCGCCTTCGTCTCGTTCATGCTAGAGTTAAGGCATGCACCATCAGGCTTAGCCAGGCCCTCTGTAAAAAATGATAGGGATGATGTTGGGGGGTTTTGTTTGTTTGTTCGTTTTTTCTCGGTGTAGCCCTGGCTGTCCTGGAACTCATTCTGTAGGCCAGGCTGGCTTCTAAATCAGATCCCTCTGCCTCCCGAGTGCTGAGACTTTTAAAGACAGTGGTATTGTGGGCCATATACTTTCCTTCTGCTACTTTGTTTTGCTTTTGTTGTTTTAATACCTGCTTATTTTCATGATCTTTCTAATTTATAAAGAAATAGATGCATAAAACATTCATAGGAAAAAGATAAACACTGGACACAGCCTTTTTTCTTTCAGATAGTTTTGTGTATGCCCAGTAAATTAACCTCTTTCTTTACTTCTCTAGGTTTGTGTTTGTCTTAATTTACTTTATTTTTTAATTTTAGAGTACTCGAAGTCGACAAGGAGAAGAGAGAGATCCAGAAGTTGAACTAGAAGTAATTGCCCTTATTTTCTGTAGATAAGATCAGAGAAGCCCATCTTGAGTGCTGCGGTTCTCTGAGCTGCACTGTGATTTATGGAAACCCTTTCATGGTACTTCTGCAAGGGCTTCATTTCTGTAGAGTGGTAATGCAGCTCTTTTGATTATCTGATTTCAAAACTCTTCAGAATTCCTGGGAAGCAGGAATTAGAAAAAAAAGATCACTTATAGATGTGTTTCAAAACTTAGCACAGTCAAAAATTTCCATACCATCAAAAGTTGCTGAACTTTTTAACCCCTTCCTAACTGCTAACTACATGTTTTTGAGATAATAGCCTAGCCCTGACTTTGAACTGGAGTGCAGTATAGTTTCTTTTCTGTTTCAAAAGAGTAGGTGTTGTTAACTAGTTTTTGGTGGCTTCTTTTGTAGGCATTTACAAAGCCAAGTAGAAGCCTGTTTGCTGTAGTGAGTGACTGGCACTTTAAAGATTTAGGAGTCGCAAGGGTTAAAATGTAGTCTCTCTGCGGCCATGCTTGGCCCTGCTTCTCACCACACTTCTGTGTTTCTGGTTCCAGCACCAGCAGTGCTTGGCAGCGTTCAGCAGAGTGAAGTTCACCCGCGTGCTGCTGACAGTGCTCATCGCCTTTACTAAGAAGGAGGTGAGAGGATTGCCGTGGTCGGCGCAGGGTGGCACAGTGCCCTCCTGGTCTCACAGTTGTCTGTGTTTGGTATAGTTATACCACAGCATATCTACCTGTGCCTCTGGGAAACGTGATTACTGCTTTACTGTCATGTCTGTAGATAGGTAATTCTTTTTCCTGGATTCCTCCCACCCCATATTTGTGAATGGCTGTGTAGTATTGGAATTTTTTCCCTTTTCACACTTGACTTTATCTCTGATCTTTTATCTTAAAAAGTCAGCTTATACCATAAGCCAGAAATATTTACCATTTTATTTTTTAATGCATCAAATAAGATACAGATTGGGAAACAGTCTGCAGTCGCACACAGCTGCGCTCAGCTTTGAAGACAAATGCTTTGTATCCTGTCAGGATTGGGCATCCTGCATTAAGTGACTGCTTTGTGAGGACCCATGTTAGCACAGTGTGCGCTGGGTCTCGGTGCTGTTGTAGGACCTCCTCTTCTCTGTGTGTTAGCACAGTGTGCACTGGGTCTCGGTGCTGTTGTAGGACCTCCTCTTCTCTGTGTGTTAGCACAGTGTGCACTGGGTCTCGGTGCTGTTGTAGGACCTCCTCTTCTCTGTGTCTTATAGTTAACGTGTGTGTTTCCGTGGTTTGTTTGCTAGACCAGTGCTGTTGCAGAGGCTCAGAAACTAATGGTCCAAGCAGCAGACCTTCTTTCTGCCATCCACACTTCATTGCACCATGGCATCCAGGCTCAGAATGGCACTACCAAAGGAGGTAATTCTCAGTGTTTGCTCTTATATTTCTCTGTCAAAACATGTACTACAGTTAGCTCTGACTTTGATTTAACTCAGTCTGCCTGGACTTTGGGGTGTTTCTTCTGAATACTTCAGAGTGCTTTAGGCTTCTTTGTAGATTTAGTCTATGTTGGAAACAACTGATAAAACTTGGCCCTATCGTGTATCTTACTGTTGGACTCTGTATGTACCCTGTCTTGTGTTTGTACTATGATGCCAGCAGTAACTTAGTTTTTGACCGTCTCCTTTCTTTACTTCTTTGAGAAAGCCACTAACGTCGTTGTGTAGTGCACCTCACTCCACAGGGCAGGCCCAGTGTATAGTTCACCTCACTCCACAGGGCAGGCCCAGTGTCCTGAGGTTCATTGTACTCACAGGTGCCTGCCTTCACACTGCACTGGAATTGTGCATGAGATTCTGGACCCTTAGGAATAGAGCGCTTGACATGTTGATGCGTCATATATTTTATATGTGAAATAAGGGTTAATAGGAGTGATGTATCTTCGCTGTAAAATTCACCAGTGGGTCAATATTTTCAAGTGTGCAGCAACACTAATTATCCCTAAAACTCCTGAGGTGGTATTTGTAGTCTTAATATTATTGAGGTGTAAAATATCCACAACTCTGAAACACAACTAGTTTGGGAAATGTTTATTTAAAAAAAAAAAAAAAGACTTAACATGTAAAAGTAGCTTACTTGTGATTCCTGAAATTCTGTGTTCAAATTAGCTTCTAGGCATGTTTCTTGGAATTTTCTTTATTATATTGATGTAGCTATGTCCACTACCACTCTGGGTAGTGCCATTCTCTACGCTAGGTCCTGAAGCAATACATGGAGGAAAGGAGCCGTGTGGTGATGTTATTTGTGATTTATTAAAGCTTGCCTGAGGATTCAGAAAGCAGAATCAGCCACAAACAGAGAAGCCAGACACACACCTTTAATCTCAGAAGCCAGAAGCTAGGAGGTGGTGGTACACATCTTTAATCCTGAGACTCAGGGTTAAGAGGTAGACAGATCTTTCTGAGTTCAAGGCCACCCAGGGATACATGAGATTGAATCAGTCTAAAAGAGTAACAGATAACACGACTTTAATGCCAGCAATAGAGGGGTATAAAAGAATAAAAGATAGAAGCAGGGTCTTTAGTAGTCAGTAGGAGTCATTCATTCTCTAGCCACACTGAGGAGAGGCAGCAGTTTGAGGCTTGGTGAAGAGCTCTTGCGTGTGAATCAGCCATTTCAGCCTGAGCTTGAGGTGAGAGCTAGTGGCTGGGGGCTTTGCTTTCCTGATCCTCAGGATGAACCCCAATATCATCTTTTATTCATATTAACAGAGCAGAGAGCAAACTTGCATGCATTTCTTCTTTCTGCTCTCAGCTGCAGATGTGACAGCTGCTTAAGGTTTCTGCTGCGCTGAGTTCCTACAGTGATGGACTGTGAGCTGTAACTGTGAGCCTATTGAACCTTTCTCGTGTCCAGTGGTTTCTCTCAGCAGAGACGACTGACACTGAGACACTACGTGTCACTCATTGAGTTGCCTGCTTGTGTGAGGCCTGAGAGTTCATGTATTCAGAGCTAAAGAACTTTTCTTGATAACCTCAGACTTATGTTATAAAAAGGTCACTGTCAATTTCTCCTGCCTCAGCTTTGCAAGTGCTGGGATTACAGGTGTGTGTCACCAGGTCCCATGTCTGGTTTGGTGTGTTTGCGTTGTTAGGATTGGACTCAGAGCCTCATGCATGCAAGCGCTCTGCCACTGAGCTATATCTTCACTCCCCACCCCCCAGTTCTCCGCTTAAATTTTTTGTTGTCATTGTTTTATTTTTTTCAAGACATGGTTTCTCTGTGTAGTCCTGCCTATCCTGGAACTCACTTTGTAGACCAGGCTAGCCTCAAATTCAAGAGAACTGCCTGTCTCGGCCTCCCAAGTGCTGGGATTAAAGGCGTGCACCACCACCATCCAGCAAAATTATTTTTAAAGAGTGCAGATGTATATGGGATAATGATATGCCTAATTGTAATTGGGAACAAAGCATTTTTACTTTTTCCCCACATAAAATGATAAAGTCAGTGAATATAGTTGGGAATGGGATTTGTGTGTATAATCTCCCCACATGTAATGGATTTGTGAACCTGATCTCATGGCACTGGAGAGATAGCCCAGCAGTTAAGAGCACTGGTGGCTTTTCCAGGGGGCCACCTTCAACGCCCTCATCCTCATGGCAGCTCGCAACTGTCCCTAACTCTGGTCCTGGGGATCTGACGCTCTCTTCGGGACTCCATGGGTAATGCACACACATAACTGACAAGAGAAAAACAGCATTCATGGAGCCAAGAGGGAGTTGATATTTTCTGTTGAGTCTCGGGAAATCACTGAGGTCTTCCCAGTGCTCCCTCAGGGCACTGTGCTGTAGCTTATGGGGCAGGCGGGAGATTGCAGAGAAGGTACAGAGGTGAGGAGTGCTGACTGCTCTTGCGGAGGGTCTGGATTTGATTCCCTCTGCTACACGGTGGCTCACAACTGCCTGCAACTTCAGTTCCGGGCTCTGATGCCTTTGACCTCCATGGGCTCCTGGCTGCACGTGGTTCTCATAAATTCATGCAGGCATACATCCATACATAAGTAAATAAAAAATACATTTTAAGCTTTTGTGGTAGGGAAATTCAGGCTGTGTTTTACACAAAAGCTGAGGTGGTGGTGAAAGGGACTAATGGGGTGAAGGAGCATCACACACGTCAGAGAAGAAGAAGAGCAGTGGGAACCAGAGTCCCTGCCAGCTGGTCACTGATGGAAGGTGGGCAAAGCCCTGCGTGAGACAAGGTCGCTGCCCTTCAGGACGGTGGGGCTGAGCTCCCGCTTTCTGAGAGAGACAGTGTTCGCAGTTGCCTCCTTTTTTTTTTTTAAAGATTTACTTATTTATTACGAATACAACACCCTGCCTCCATGTACACATCAGAAGAGGGCACCAGATGTCATTACAGATGGTTGTGAGCCACCATGTGGTTGCTGGGAATTGAACGCATGATCTCTGGAAGAGCAGTCAGTGCTCTTAACCTCTGAGCCATCTCTCCAGCCCCTCGCAGTTGCCTTTTGAGATGAATAGGTGAGAAGGCTGTGGGCCAACTGTTTTCATCTGAGTCTGCAGTTGTATTGGTCTCGTATAAGAGTAATTCATAGAAGTCACCGCCAGGAGAGAGACGTTATTGTGGAGAAGAAAACCTGGGCCTGTAGCAGCCACAAAGATGAGACAGACTGGGCATCAGAGCACTGCTCAGAGTGTTGTAGTCAGTCAGGCAGCTTCTGACTCTTCACAGTATAGCTGTGAAGCCTCAGTTTTGTCTCACATCTAAAACTGTATTCTTAGGGGTAGCTTGTTTGTGGGTGAGCACAGCTTTGGATGTTGATTGTGTAAATGCTTCCTCAAGGCTGTGTATCTCATTTCAGATTCCAGGTTGAGAAAAAGCCTGAGGGTACACTCGTGTGAGCGTTGGTAATGTCACCAGGGTTCTACTCTGGAATCCTCTGCTCTGCTCTATGGTCATCTCCATTGAAAGAATTCAGATGAGTCGAGTGGTGAAGCATAAAGAATAGGGGGGCTGCTTATTGTAAAGCAGAAGAAAGTGCACACTGTGAAGGTGTAAAGTCCACAGTGGCTCCTGTCTTGTATCCTCAGGCTTTTGACTTTTCAGTGATCCCCAGAGCTGGCAGCTTTCCCTTAGGCTCTTTGTCCAGTGCTGGTGACCAGCAGCTGTGCTTGTCCTGACTGCTGCAGGGGTCTCAGGAGCGCAGCTCACAGGATGCTGTGCTCCAGAGGGTCTCCTGTTGTCTTAGGAGGGTCCGTGCACTTAGAACTGGTTGGCTAGTCATTAGTGTCCCTCCAGACAGCTCTGGAGGTTAGGTCTCCTCTCGTGGTGGAGATGTGACTCAGCTGGCAGCCCTGGCTTTCATTGAATCCCTGCTGTCGCAGCTTTGGCACTAACCTCTACCTCCACCATGTGGCTAGGAGTACAGTGTGAAGTCCCTAAATCTCATTCAAACTTCGTTGTCAGTTATAAAATTTATTAGATATTTGTGATTAGAATATTGGAAATGCCTTTAAAATTTGGACATTTTCTTTTTTATATTTAATAGTTTTGATTTTAAAATCCAGAGAAACTTTGGAAATTTTACTTTCTTTCCTCTTTCTTCTTTAGACCATCCAATTATGATGGGTTTTGAGCCTCTTGTTAACCAGAGGCTGCTTCCACCCACCTTCCCTCGCTATGCAAAAATAATTAAAAGAGAAGAAATGGTCAACTATTTCTCAAGATTAATAGACAGAATAAAAACAGTCTGTGAAGTCGTGAACTTACCAAACCTACACTGTATTCTGGTGAGTATAAAGTTATATTCTGGAGCTCTGGTGCAGTAACAGGATAGTTTGTCACTCTAGAGACTGACTGACAGACCCGTAGATAGCATTGGAGTGTGTGCACACACAGCACATGGTTAATTTCATAAGGATTTGATTCATTTTTAGAAATTAAGAAGCTAAACTCAAGATATTAGGTAAATCACCCCAAATTTTAGGAATAGGATTCTGTCTTCAAAATATTTTTTGCATGAGGGTGTGTATGTGTACACATAAGAGAGAGTTTTTCTTTGTTTTTAAATATCATTCTGGAGATTTAACTCCAGGGCCTCATACATGCAAGGCTAGTCCTCTACCACTGAGCTGTCTCTCCAGATAGACTCTCACTGGGTGGCTCAGGCTGACATTGACAGACTGTCGCACAGCCTGGCTGTGAGCTGTGACTTCCTGCCCCAGCCTCCTGAAAGCAGAGGCTTTGGGCTTGTGTTGCCAGACCTGGCAGGGTTCAGTGTTCTTACATATGGTCCTTGGTGACCTTCCTTGTTTGTCCTGGTGAGAACTTTGTGTTACAGGTGCTTTCTTTTCATATCAGTAAATACACAAATTTCTGCTTTACTTTGAAGACATATCTCTATACCGTGTATTGTTTCCAGCCAGCTGCCTGGGTCCCACTGTTGTCTCAGCCCACAAATAACACACGAGACACTATATTATGAGGCTGTTGGCCGTTTGCTATGGTTTCTTGATGACTAGCTCTGACTTAATTATTAGTTCATAATTAATAATATATATTTTTATAAGGTCTTCTCTTACCAAGAATGCCAGACTTGCTCCCCCTCCTCCTGGGATCACATGGCGACTCCCCACTCTTGACTACATTTCCCAGAATCCTCCTTGACTCCTAGTCTCACCTATCTTGCTTCCCTATTGGCCAACAGTGCTTTATTTATCAACCAATAGGACAAACATATATACAGAAGGATTTCCCCCATCATATCTCACTATAAAAGCTTATATAACACAATTGCTTTTTAGTTCATATCACATTACATTTAGGTAAATTTCATTGTTTCGCATTTAACAGACAGACAGTACCAAGATGAAACCTTTTTATGTAACCCTGTGCAGCATGCATTTTCTCTTCTGAGTGAAACCCCTTGTATAATGCGAAGCCCTCATTCTTTGTGATGTAGAGGAAGAACAGAGCTAAACACTCAGTGGTGAGTGGCTCTAATCCCACCACCAGGGAGACCGAAGCAGAGGCTTGGGTTGTTGGCTAGCCTGGGCTAGCTCAAGGCAGCACACAGCAGACAGTACTAAGCAAAGGAAGGCTTTACTTTGAGAGTGTTGTGCAGCAGATGGTTCCCGTACATCTCTGCATAAAGCAGAGCTTTTCCTCATTAATTTAACTTTCATCCGTCATCATCCTGTCTGTTCTTGTACGGGGTGTGACTCTCATCCCTAGAGATACACTAGCACAGCAGAGTAACTCCTCAGCTCTCCTCCATCCGCAGGTAGGCAGACTTGCCTTGCCAGGAGAGGGCTTAGTGAGGAAGGACAAATACCTCCCAGAAAGACCCCAGGCAGCACAGTGGCAGCAATAGAGGAAGTGTGGACAGGGAAAGGGTTAGCAGTCTGTGTCTGTCATTGTCGAGGTTCGGGGAAGTGTGGCGTGGTGAGGTGTGCTTATGTACAAGGACAGTAAGCCAGATTGAAACATACAGCTCCAGGCTCAGTGAGAGACCCTATTTCAAAAAGTAAGCCAGGGAGTCATCAGTGAGGAAGCCCAGTATTGACCTCTGGCTTTCACATGCTGTGTGCATACATGCATAATACACCTACACAGACATGACTTTCATGACCTGCCTGCCAGCTCCCAAATAACCACACAGAGACTTCTTATTAATTATGAATGCTTGGCCGATAGCTTAGGCTTGTTGTTAACTTAACATGTTTCTATTACTTTACTCTCTGCCTCGTGGCTTTATTACCCCATCTCTAATGTCCATCCTGCTCACTCTGCATCTCACGGTGTCTCCACCTTTTTTCTTCCCAGCATCCTCTCTGCCCTGAATATCCTGCTAGCTATTGGCCACTTAGCTTTTTATTGAACCAGTCACAGTGACACATCTTCACACATGTAAAGGAATATGCCACAACACAGCGGTGTGTTCAGTGAACACCAGTTTTATGGTGTTTTAGGATATGTCCAGTATAGTCTCACAAACGTGAATGGTAGAGTTTCGTAGAACACTCGCTAACACATGCAGATTACGCCTGTGCTGTGCTGGTTTATGTCGACTTGACACAAGCTAAAGTCATCTGAAAAGAAGGAGCCTAGGTGGAGAAAATGTCTCTGCAAGATCCAGCTTAGGACATTTTAATTAGTGATGGGGGGTAGGCAGCCCATTCTTTGTTGGGTCATCCCTGGGTTCTGTAAGAAAGCAGGCAGATCAAGCCAGTAAGCAGCACCCTCCATGGCCTCTGCCTCAGCTGCTGCCTCCGGGTTCCTGCCCTGCCTGAGTTCCTGTTCTGACTTCCTTCAGTGATGAACAGTGATATGAAAACATAGCAAACCAAATTAACGCTTTCCTGTCCAGGCTCTTTTGGTCCTGGTGTTTCATCACAGAATAGAAGTGCAACTAAGACACATGGGGTGCAAGTAGCTGAAGGAAAGCAAAGAGTATCCATGCCTAAAATTTAGGATGGAGAAGAGAAGCCAGTAAAGAAGCCAGGAAGAGTGTAAAGACGATGAGTGTGACTGAAGAGTACAGGCTTGTTTGTTTCCCTAAAAGGAGTTAGCACAGTGCAGGACTGTTAGAGGGGATAGCAGTTAAAGGAGAGAAAGGAAACTGCTTAACTAGGCAGAAGTTAGGTGAAGACCCTCCCCCTCCCCCCCGCCTCCTTCCCTTTCCCTCATGTATTTGAGACACATTCATAAGCAGTCGGGAATGTCAGAGCCCTCTGCAGTACCCTTTGCTCTGACGGTCTGAGCTGTGACAGGCTTTTCTGATGCCCTCTCTGTTGTTGACAAGTGCTGTACCTGGGAGGACTCGGGCTCTGTTGTGGAAAAGTAGCTGCTTTCCATGGTGACATCACCTGGGAACACATCTCGTCTCTTCCTTTTGTTCTCACTGCCAGCCTGCAGAAATATTGTAGGCATCCAAAAGCACACATACCTATCTTTAACGTTTCAAATACTAAAATTCAACATACAAAAATTGGAAGGTTCGGAAAGTGTTAGCCACTGTCTCTCTAATTTTTAGATGTTAATGTTTTTTGTGTATTTTCTTGTCTTTCTCCCTGTATAATCTGTATTTCTTGATCCTCACTCTAAGCAATACCAGTTACCTGGCTACTTTTTTTTGAGGTTTATTTTCATTATTTTAAATTATGTGTATGTGTTTGTCTGTATGAGGATGTGTGCACATGAATGCTTGAGTCCTTGAAGGCTAGTGGTGTCAGATCCCCCTGGAATTGGCATTACAAGCAGTTGAGGTTGTGAGCCACCTAATGTACTGGGTTGAGTCCACACAAAAGAGTGTGCTCTCTTCAGTCTCTGAACCCTCTCCAGCCCCCACACTTCTTTTAAATTGCAGCTAAGGTTTTTCATCACCTAATTACTGTTGACACTTTTCTTAGTATACAAATTCTATGTTGGTGTGCACATTCACATGTACAGATCTTGGTCAGATTTGGAAACAGTTTTTGTAGACTCTGAAGTCAACCCGTTGGTATAATGAAACGTTTTTTAATAAAGTTGACCTTTAATTCTTTATTTTAACACTAGTAGGATATTTTTTTTCCAAACAATGACATTTTATTTGCAAACATGGCTGGCTTTTGTTTGCTGTCCTAACAGCACTGCTTTTCTCTCTCAGGACTTTTTCTGTGAGTTTAGTGAGCAGTCACCGTGTGTTCTCTCAAGGTCTCTGCTGCAGGTAAGATCCACTCTCTCATTGGTGATGAACAAAAGCGGACGCTGTTGGGGTGGTGATCCTGCCTTGCGTCCGTTTGTCTTGGCCTACACTTGCTGCGTGAGAGCCGCACCACTGTGTCCTCCCTGCACTCATTGAAACGCTGCGTTAGGGAGGGTCTGTGCCAGGCCACAAAACAGACCTCAGGAGTGCTGTAAGAAGTGGGAGCACACAGCGTAACATGCTTTCTGACCAAGTTTAGAATCAGAGTGCTACTCAAGGTAGCCAGGGGGAAGTAACTCTGAACAGTGAGAAGTTGAATAACACTTAAGTAACTCACAGATCACACCTGTTGAGGGGAACTGGAAACCCTGAATTAAGTAAATGTGACTCCATGGTTATAGCACTTCTGTACAAGCCTGAAGGCCAGAGCTTGTGCCCCTGAGCCCACAGGATTACTGGGTCGTGTGGTGGCCGGCCTGTGCCTGCAGCCTTGGAAAGTACAGACAGGATGCCCCAGAGCAAGCTGCCTTGTAGCACCGGCCACACTTGTGAGCTCTGGCGTGGTTAGGGTCCTGCCTCAGAGCATCAGATGGGAAAGCAAGTGGTCCAGAGTCAGCCTCGGGCCTGCAGCTGCGTGCACAGATGTGCATATGTGGATACATGTGTGCTCAGACTCAGGGAAAACACATGTACACACAAGAAGAAAAGGGGAGGCATGAGAAATTTAAAGTACACAAAGTCATAAAACTAAAGTACTTAACACTGTCTTGACTTAAAGGAGGGCCCAGGACTAGGATATGGATCAGGTAGTAAAGTGTGCACACACACGTGAGACCTGGATCAGGTAGTAAAGCCTGTGCGTGCGTGCACACACACACACACACACACACACACACACACACACACACACACACACACACACACACGTGAGACCAGGAGCTTGATCCCCAGAAGCCATGTGAAAAGCGGGGGCTAACAGGCAGCTAACAGCACATGAGGTTGACCTCTGACTTCCACCTGTGTGTGCACACCGCCCACATACATGCACATATACACACTCCAAATGAAGAAAAGCATTACTGTGTGATACTTTTGTCTTCAGAAACAATAAGGACAAAAAGAGCAAATTGCACAAGAAAAAAGGAAACAACAAAGGTCAGCAAAAGTCAGTAAAGTACGGATCAAAGCCATAGGGAAAACCACTGCAACTGAAGGCTGCTTAGAAACACCAGGAAAAGTGAGCACAGCTTCACAGACAGAAGGGAAACAAGGGAAGATACAAATAATGAAAAGAATAATGAGGGACAGGGTACGTAACCCATTGTCTAAAAGTACTTAGACAAAACAAATGTATTTCTTTAATGAAAGACTCCCAAAACTTAAGGCATAATTAGAACAACCCTGAATCTATTAAATAAATTGAATAGTTAAAAACATTCCAAAATGAAAATTCTAAGCCAGTTCTACATAGTTCCTTCCAGAGACAAGAAGAGTTAACGATCTGACACTAATAAATTAAGTCAGTAACAAGGCAAAGCTAATTTCATAAACATGAGAAACTGCAGAACAGTGTCCCTTATAGCAGAAAGCAATGTAGCAGCAAATTGAAGGCAGTAGTATATTGTAGATTGTAGCCTTTTCCTTGCCAGCCGCTTTGGTTTTTCCCCCGTCAGTTGCCTGGATTCTGCCGCGTGGCAGTCCCCAAATAAACACACAGGAGGCTATATTAATTATGAAGCTGTGTTGTTGGTCGTTTGCTTGGTTTCTTAGTGGGTACTTCTGACTTAAGTATTTACTCCATAATTGTTAATCTAAGTATTTCTCTTACTGGAGGAAAGGTCTGGACTTCTTTCTGCTATGGCAGCTACATCGTGACTCCCTATGTTTCTCCTACCCAGAGTCCTCCTGGACTCCTAGTCCCACATATCTTGCTTCCCTATTGGCCAACAGTGCTTTATTTAACAACCAATAAGAGACAAATTTCAGAATGATATCTCCCATCAGTATATAATTACATCATGACCAGTGGGGTTAGTCCTGGGAATGCAAGTATGGTTCAGCGTTTGAAAGTTGGTGCCGGGCGGTAGTGGCGCATGCCTTTAATCCCAGCACTCAGGAGGCAGAGGCAGGCGGATCTCTGTGAGTTCGAGACCAGCCTGGTCTACAAGAGCTAGTTTCAGGACAGCCTCTAAAGCTACAGAGAAACCCTGTCTCGAAAAACCCAAAGGGGGAAAAAAGGAAATTGGTATACTTTACTGTTCAATTGGAAATCTCAGTAAATTGAGGAAAATGTGACAGGATTAACATCAATTCACAATTTTAAAAAGCCAGAAACAGGAGTAGAAGACAGCACTCTTAATAAAGGGTCTATGTACAATCCTGCAGCCACTACACATCTTACATAATAAAGTTAAGTTTCCTCTTGAGTCTGGGAAGACGCAGTGAGGCTGTCTGCTTAGCACATCCTGCCATCTCTTCCCTTCCTCTTGTTACTCAGTGTCAGCCGCTGCAGTGAGGCCAGTGAGGGCTGGAAATTACACACAGTTAGCAGACGTCCTGTGCAGAGTGCCGAGGGTCTACAAAGACCTTGCTGAAGTAGGTGGGTGAATTGAATAGACTGTTACCTCCATGCTCCTGCCGCACACAGCTGAGGACAGCACTTGAGAGCAGTGCTGCTGAGCCACAGAGGCAGGGCCTCGGGAACTGCAGGCGCCTGTCATGCCAGCCTGGCCACAAAGGCCCCCTCTGACTGCCACACTTGGGCCATGGGTCATGTGATGAAAATGAAAAATAGTGCTGGAAAAATAACTGAAGATATAAACCCTTTCTGTTAACTGAAAGAAGTGACGTTTTTAAGGTGTTACTCTTCCCCAGATTGGTCTATACTGCATATTGATAGTAGTATCATTCAAAACGACAGCATGCACGTGGGTACATGTCTAGAATCTCAAATGTGTGTGGGAAGAGAAGGAACTAAAAGTGTAAAACCAGCCTTGAAGGAACAGAATGGGATGAAAGGTTGCATACTATTCAACACTGGTATTGGCACAATGATGGACAGATGAATTGGTGCGACCAATAGGATTTTTTTTAATCAGTCCTTTATTATATAGACTTCCAGTATGTAAACTTTTGTTGATTGGCCAATGTCACCAAGTAATTGCTTAACATTATGTTTTTAGCAAACATCTGTTGTGATTCAGTCTGTTGACTCATTCAACTCCACATTGTTGTTCTTGACTGGGAATTATACTCTTATATGTTACTTAATCTCTATCAAAATGCTCCCTAAATAAAGATTAATAGGGGCTAGAGAGATGGCCCAGTGGCTAAGAGCACTGGCTGCTCTTGAGAAGACCTGAGTTGGACTCCCAGCACCCACAGCGCTGTTCTCGACCGTTTGTGACTCGCGTCCCGGAAGACCTGGCGCCTGCTCTGACCTCCACAGGCATGTGTGTGTGTGGTGCACAGACATGTACCAGACACACCAATAGAAACTAAAACAGGGTTTAAACTAAAACAGGGTTTACAAATTGATTTATAATGTATCTACCGGTTTTTTATTTTAATCCCTTTGCATTCTGTAGTATTACAGGTTGTGTGTGTGTCAGTGGTGACAGTTGTATATGACAGCAGAAGTGACACACTAATATGTCTAATGCTTGTTTCAAGACCACTTTCCTCGTGGATAACAAAAAGGTCTTTGGAACTCACCTCATGCAAGACATGGTGAAAGACGCGCTTCGGTCCTTTGTCAGCCCCCCGGTGCTCTCCCCCAAGTAAGTGTCACCTGACGCGCTCCGGTGTGTGCTTGTGGACACCCGCGCTCCGCACTCCTTACAGGTTCAGCCAGTCTCCACATAGACAGGTCAGTTTCCTTCAGACTGCTCGCCTTGTCATAGAGGCTGGATGAGAGCGTGCAGCATTTGAGCAGGTGTCTTGAGAGACGACTAGGGTGGTTTTTTTTTTTCCAGCAGAAAGGGAAGAGCTGAGTCATTATTTCATACACAGAACCCACTCAGCATTTGTAAAAGCATGAAAATACGAGGTGAATTTTCATACATGAAATGTCAGTACTTCAGCATTCTCACCATGATTTGTTAAAATAAGTCAAGCCCCATGCCATGTAAAACTGGCATGTGTTTGGGTTTCCTGGGGACAGACCTTGAGACCAGTATGCATGTAAGTATACTTAGAGGTGGCTCCAGGAAAAGCTGCAGTGTGTGTGCGAGGAGGACATGAAAAGAAGAGGGTCACGAGGCGTGCATCCAGATGCGTTTATTTAGTCCTGTAGAAAGCTCTGCAGACAGTGTGGTTGCAACCTCAGCATTTCCTCCCGGGGGATAAAGAACCTGAGATTGGCCCCTATGCATGTCACCTCCCATTGTCCCTGGGAGGCTGAATAAAGCTGTCATCCCACCTCGTGTTCACCGCACAGGAGTTTCTTTGTAATTCAGCCCAGACAGCCTAGTGTGCTCTGCCGTGGATCCTTGTCCTGTCCCGGCTCCTACAGCCTCATCCTACTGCTCTGCCTCAGCCACACTGACTCTGTTGCTGACGTGGGTGTTTATCAGGGCGAAGGACGGGACACGGTGCTCTGCAACTACTACTCGAGTCTGTGGAGTGCCCCAGTTAGTACATAAACTCCACAAACATGGACAAATGCTTTGGCTGTTGTGTCACAATAGACAGATGTGTTGACTGGTGTTAGCTGCATGTAGTGAATGTTTGTTGACTGAATGAGTAGAGGGGAGGGTAGGTGGTTTAGAATGACACTCATGTGTCTTGAATGCTTTTGTAAAGTTTGTGGTAAGTGGGTAGCTGCTCAGGTTTTTGGAGGGATGGAGTGGTTCATGTCTTGTTTCAAAGGAGGAAAACTGACGAGAGCAGGGAACTCATGCAGATGGGTGAGCTCAGCATGAAGGACGGGGCGTAAACAACTCAGTCAGCTGGTGATGCGGTGACGAGTAGGCATGGTCTCTGTGCGTTGCTTTTTTAGACTTGTGAAGGATAAGGACCTCATTTTAAATTCTTGCCCTTGATCTCAGTGTGGTGAAGGCTGAGGCAGGAGTATAGTTTAAAGCAAGCTTGTGCCACTTAGGACGTTTGAGGTCAACCTGAGCCACCACATTGAGTTTATCTCAAAAGACCAAAAAAAAAAAAACCCTTTTCATGACTGTATTAGATTTACTGCCTTTCTAGTAGCTGCCAAATATTTCATAATAGGAATGTGTTCCAAGGAATAGTCTTGTGGGATGTGTGCGTGCGCTTGAGTCTGTGTGTGGTGTGTGTGTGCAGCCCTGGATATGAGGAGAACAAAGTTTTTATATAAAAGCTCAGGAGGAGGGGGTTTCCAAATGGGGGATTTGTCAGGCAAAACAGCCAGGATGACTAGAGCAGAACATAGGCATAACAGGTAATCATAATGACCCCTAAAACAAAGACATGATTGACGTTTCTGGAACAGGCAGTGCAGAAACATTTGTAGTAAAGGCTGCCAGTAGGGCGTGGCCCAGGCCTTGAGAAACACAGTTAATCATAAACAGGAATGAGCCTAATTTGTCCTTACTGTAAGGTGGGTTTTAAGCTCAAGATGGAAACAGGTTGGTTTTTCAACAAGCTTATGTTTTTATGGCTTCTCAGAGAAGGTTTTCTTCATGCCTTTCTCAACTGGTGGTGGTGGTGGTGTTTTCTGTTAGTCCACAGCAGGCAGATGGAGGTCCTAGAACCACGTTAAGGGTTTGTTTCTCCATTTGTACTCTTCGGGGTCTGGTCAGGTGGGATCAAACTCAGGTGTACCTTGAGCCATCTGGAAGGACTGGTTTCATAGGATAGAGTCACTACACATAATGAGAATCAGCTTCGTGAAGGGCAGACGTCATAGCATGTGGTGACCATAGTGTGTAGTTCACTGGTGTGAACTAGTACGTTATCACAAGTAAGACTTCAGACAGACCTCAGGGAGTAGTGTTCTTGGTTTGTTGTTGTATGTGTTGAGGTAGGGTTTTCAGTACGTAGACCAGGCTCCCCCTGCCTCTGCCTCTCACATTCTGGGATTACAGGTGTACACCACATGTCTGCTCAAGTCAGAGTTCATGCCTCACATACACAAGGCTCTGGGTTCTGTCCTACCCACTGCTGTGAGAATTCTCGTTTTTCCTTTGTAAGTGACTTGAAACGTTCCTCTTGCTCACTGGACTTCCTTTTAAGATTTCAGTTTTACCAGAACAGTCCTACCTAAAACTCACATGAAGTCTTCCGATCAGATCATTTTCCATGTCATTGCTTGTCTGCATCATCTCACTCATGTTTCTTCCCGTTGAGAGTCTTCATTAGGGTTTCCGTTGCTTTGACAACCCCGATGACTGAAAGTAACCTGCAGAGTGAAGGTTTGCCTCAGTTTGCAGCTGTCAGGTGTCACTGCGGCAGTTGAGGGAGCTCAGGAACCTGTGCAGAGGACGTGGAGAACCCAGCACCACCTTTCTGTGTTGGTCATCAATTAAGAAAGGACATTCAGGCCAGCCTGGTGGGGCATTTTCCCAGTCAGGGTTTCTTCTTTCAAAATGACTCCAGCCTGTGTTGGCTGGAGTAAACAGCAGCACACACAGGTGACATTCGTGTCCTCATCAGCTGTACTCTGCTGCTGTCAGGCAGGGTTTTCTGTGGTTCTTACAGGGTATTTGTGACACCTTTACCTCAGCCACTTAGATTTATGCCTGATGGTTATTCATTATGTGTATCTGGCAGTTAGAGACTCGGGGTCTTCTAGCGAATGATCCCTTGCCTCATCTCTGCTCTTCCGTTTTTCTCTCTCCTGCCCCCCCCCGTCATTGTCTGGTCATGGTTCTGCTTCTCTTTGAGGCTTGGGAATTAATTCCCCATCGAGGCCCGGGAGAGTCTCGTGTGCTTTTCCGTCTTTGCCGTAAATGCACGTGTGTCTTCAGAGCCCTGGCATCTATCTACTCGGGCTCCGTAGCTCCTCTAGGCTGCAAGGAAGGGACAGTAGGCGGGGTCCAGGGACACAAGCTCGTGTTGTGTTTTACAGTGACGAGTAAGAGGCAAGCGGCTGGGGGAGTGTAGGACCTGGGCTTTTGTGTTCTCACTGCACAATGTGGGAAGCACAGTGATAGGAAACACCTAACATGATGCTGCCTTCCTCAACGTATTCGGTTGTGTTTTCTGTCAGTGGCGTCTGTAGTCATCACTGCTTCTTGTGTCTGAGCTACAGTTTGCTCTTAGTGATGTGACTGTTGTCTTGCAGGTGTTGCCTCTATAATAATCACCAGGCTAAGGACTGTATCGACTCCTTTGTTACGCACTGTGTTCGGGTAAGAACGAGAACTTGGCTTGTTGCGATTGATACTTTGAAAATTATGGTGCATAATTCTTTCCTACGCATTTATACTTTTCTTCATTGATCTCTTACTCATGTCTAGTGAATACATTAACGGTTCTGTCTCCTCACTACTTCAGTGAGTGGCTTTATGGCCTGTGCTCTTGGCAGATTCAGATAAAAATTCAGCGTGGAATACCTGTTACCGCCTGTAGGGACCAGAAAGGGACACCGTGACCCTTGGCTGAGAGCTCATTTCCTCCCTAGTATGTCTTGTGAATGGATGTACAAACCTCACTTCTATGACCTTACAAAAATAAAATTACTCTTGTATGTTTACTTTGGAACTGCCTTAATGAAAGGGGTTCTATTTAAACTAAAAGTGTTAGTTTAAATCAGGTTACAAACTTTTTTTTTAAGTCTTTGGTTAGGGGAAAAAATGCAGGCCGGAAGTAGATTGTTGCCTGTTATTCTTATTTAATTATATCAGCATTTCTCTCAGAAATAAGTTAGGCAATTATTTAGGGGATAATTCTATTTCATGCATGCTTGTGTACATGTGTGCATACAAGTGTGGGTTTGGAAGCAGCATTGCATGGTGAAAGGTTTTATTTCTGTTGCATTTTATTATTATCACCAGATATATTGCTTTACTTGCTGAAAATTTACATCTTTTGAGAGTGAAATGTTAATACAGGCTGAGATCCCTAACCTGAAATGGGGAATACTTTTGACTAAAAATCTTTCAGATTTTGGAGTGTTTGTGTAGAATTTGTGGGTTAAGCATCCCTAACCCAAAACCCTGAAATCCAGCATGCTCCCAAGTCCGGAGGGTTGTGAATGTTACTTTAGCAATGCACACCTATAATCCTAAACACTCAGGAAATTGGACAGCAAAATCACAACGTCAGAGTCAGTCCTCAGCTACGTGGTGAATTCATGGCCAACTTGGGCTACCTCAGACTCTATCAGATTTTTGTTTTTTTGCGGGGGTGGGGGGTGGGGGTGAGTTTTCAGACAAGAGGTGCTCACCCTGTGCCTCTAACTCTTCTAGAAGAGTTGCTAATCAAAAGAGTCTGATGAGCTCACCAAGACAAGCACGGTCGTGCCTGAGTGCAGACTGGCTCACCCTGTGTGTCTGTTTGATTAGTGCTGCTTCTGGATACTACAGGGAGCTGTGTTTCCTGTGCTTAAGAACAGGAGAGCCATGGTAGGAGCCATCACTCCAGCACCACAGACGTGTTAGCATTGTGGTCTTGGCTTTCAGCTTGAAATAAGCAGAAAAGGAATTGCAGGAAGACGTCCAAATATTGGAGGAATGTTTTTTGTTTGTTTAGGTTTTCTTTTTGCCATAGGAAATCATATTTCACAAATAACCACCTTTTTCTATTTATAAATTCTAATATTGAATTCCTTAAAAACGGACACCCTTGTAAGAAGCATGAAGTGTGATTGGGTGCACATGTCCCCACATGTACTTATGCGTTTAAACAAGAGTTAAGACCCTGGCATGTTATTTCTTTGGGATAAAGAAGGTTTCACGTTGACAGTTAACAAGCTTTCTGTGTGTTACAGCCATTTTGTAGTCTTGTTCAGATCCATGGCCACAACAGGGCTCGACAGAGAGACAAACTGGGTCACATTCTTGAGGAGTTTGCGACCTTGCAAGATGAGGTAAGAGTCAGGTGTCTTTTTCTAAAATTCAGCAAGTCATAAATTACAAGAGTAGCATGCGTCTGTAAAAAAATAAATACTTAGAGTCACTGGACTTGGGAGTACGAGACAGAAGGATCATGAGTTCAAGGCCATCTTGAGACATATGGGACTGTTTTTCTGATACTTTAACTTTTGAAAAGCAATTATTTAAAACAGTGATTTGAGGATTAATTTTTCACTATGATATGCCTATTTTTCATAAAGTGTAGCAGTTTTATACTCCAGAGGAAAAGAGTACATGAAGAAATGGAAAAATACAGTTTATAGATCTTCCCCCTCCCCCGAAACAGTTTCTTTGGAGCCTGTCCTGGAACTCCTTTATAGATTAGGCTGGAGTCAAACTCACAGAGATCCACCTGCCTCTGCCTCCATGGTTTCGTGGCAAGTCACCCCACAGTGAGACAGTTTAACGCTGACTCGTGGGCAGCAGGGGATCCCATTACTAATACCAAAGACTGAAATCACACATTGAGGCTTGTTGTTGTGAGACAGGGCCTCACTGTTTTGTGAGGCTTATTCTTAGCCACGGGGCTCTCAGGATCCTCCTGAGGCCTCTGTCTCTGGAACAGGCTGATGGCACTGCAGGTTTACAAGCCTGAACCCCACTTTGTCCGGACAGAATAACTTGTGTGAAAATGAGTGTGTATTTTGAGAAGTACTTTGGATAAATGTTAAGAACTTTTCACACCTAGCCAGAAGTGCATTTGAAAGCAGAACTCTTGGGTTGTGCGATTTATGTTTTGTGCTCATGCTTTTCGAGTTTTCTCGCTATCTAATTAATTGATGTAATGTAACAAATTAACTTGACAGGCAGAGAAGGTTGATGCCGCACTTCACACTATGTTGCTGAAGCAGGAGCCTCAGAGACAGCACCTGGCCTGCCTAGGGACCTGGGTGCTTTACCACAGCCTCCGCATTATGATCCAGTATCTGCTCAGTGGCTTTGAACTGGAGCTCTACAGCATGCACGAGTACTACTACATCTACTGGTGAGGACTCCTGCGGCTGCCTGCGCTGGGGGAGCCAGCCGCAAGCATGCATCTGCAAAGAGTGCAGCTGGGGAACACGGCCTCCTTCCGAGAGTTGGTGCTTTCCTTCCTCCTTGCTGAGGCGGGGTCCCCGTGCTAGCTGTCCTACACGCAACTCCAGGTCACTTTCCTGTCTGCCCACCGCCTCACTGTAAGAACGACGGCTTTGCAGATGTTGGGCTGCATTTTACATTTTTAACATGGGCTCTGGGGATTTAAGTCAGGCTGTCAGTCTTTCTGACAGTCGCTTTGACCAACTGTGTCACCTCACTGACCCCCTGGGATATTTCTTTTCCTTCAGTGCATTTTTCCTGTACTTGTGGCACAGTTGGTAAACTATTTGGAGAATTAGAACTAGGTCAAAATATACATCTTTAGTGCTGTAACATTGTTTTCATACTTCTGTGAAAAGTACTAATAAAAGAAAACGGGTTAGTTTGACATATTTTCGGGGGGCATGGAGGGTGTTTAAAACAGGGTTTCTCTGTGGCTTTGGAGGCTGTCCTGGAACTCGCTCTTGTAGACCAGGCTGGTCTTGACTCACAGAGATCCGCCTGCCTCTGCCTCCCGATTAAAGGGATTAAAGGCGTGGGCTTCTTTTTGCAACTGTGGAGAAACATGAAAACAGTTTGCTGTGAGTTGTGCACCAACAGCCCACAGTGTGGACCCACTCACTAGAAGAAGCTTTCTTGTGAGACATCATGGCTGCGCACCTTCACTAGAGGAAAGATAAAGACTCCTGGGGAGAGGCTGTTTGAGGCCACCTTAACCATGGAAAAGCTGTAGCAAACTGACGTCAGCACCCTGATGATTCTGAATTGTCTTCATCTGTCAAGGGATGGAGCCAGTTTTAAACTTTACTTCCTGTTTATCAAATACTTAAGTTTGCTGTGTTATACTTCAGTGTATTTGCTTTCTAAACTCACAGTTGAATTTCTTTAACTTAATCACCGTCCTGAGAAGGGAAGGACCTCCCTTCCCCACACTTGGCATGGCTATGCTAGGAGGTTCTGTAGGCCACTCTGGGCTGTGCAAGCTGAATGTGAGAACTGACTTTAGCCAGCCCCACATGACCCTTGCTGAAACTCTAATTCTACATACACAAAACCAGTGGGCTGCCCATTAAGTTCTCCACAGTTCCTTGGCTTTGGAATTACTGATTTAGCTCCTCAGTTTTTGCAGAATAATCTTGTTTTGCTTATAAATGTGATCCCCAAGGCTTACAGGCCTTTAAAATCAGCATCAGAAACAAGTGATGAATCTGTTATGGCCATCTAATCACGTGCCTAGAGCCAGTCCCGAGTTTGTAGACTTACAGCGCGAGGGAGGCAGTCCTTTCCGTTTCCAGCTCCTACCCAGGCCCAGACAGTACTGCTGCTGGCCCAGAGATGGCAGATTGAGGTCACTGTCACGGAATTCAGCGCTCTGGCTCTTCTGAAGTACAGCTGTGGAGCTGTTGATAAAGCGCTTCATAAACATGAGAAATATCTAGTGTTTGAAGGGAAACAGTCATGTCACCCCTCCCCGTCACCATGTGTCCTCAGATAATGCACAGTTAGATATCACCTGTTATCTCGCTGTGCGACTTTGCCATAGACCTTGCGGACCCTCTAACTGTACTCTGCTGTGGGGATTCGTTTTATTCTGTGAGGAGATCCTATGTGCTAAGTGTTTTCTTTAACTTAAGCGCCAGCAGCTGCCTTTCCTACTGATGTTACATTCTCTCTTGGGAGATGAGTGTAGCCCTCACCTTTAGCAACCATAATACCACAGCTTCAAAATCGAATGCCAGTATAATTCCTAATGCGACCTTTAATTGGTTTCTGTTGGCTGAAAATGTTGTGTTTGGACAACGTGATGACTCAACAGGTAAAAGCAGTTTCCACTGAAGCCTGATGACCTACGCTCAATCCGTGGACTCCATGAAAGGCAGAAAGGGAGAACTGACTCTACAGAGCTGTCCCCTAGTCTCCATGCATGCTCTCTGGACACGCCACTATGTGACACGCACACACATGCACACGCACACATCGTCGTCATGATGACATTAGCATGCTCTGTTTTATATGTGCTTTAATATTGTAGGCTGCCTGGCATCTTTTGATACAGTGTTGGGAGTAGACATCCTAAAGTATGTATCATAAGGGAGCATGAACACCTTACTGATCTTTGGGGGTTTTTTGTTGTTTGTTTTGTTTGTTTGTTTGTTTGTTTTGGTTTTGGTTTTTCAAGACAGGGTTTCTCTGTATTGTCTTGGAGGCTGTCCTGGAACTAGCTCTTGTAGACCAGGCTGGCTTTGAACTCACAGAGATCCACCTGCCTCTGCCTCCCAAGTGCTGGGATTAAAGGCGTGCGCCACCAACGCCCGGCCTGATCTTTGCTTTTTGTTGATTATATAAGTACTCCTTAGTTTTCTGTATTACTGGTTATACTGGAAACATTACATGCCATTTCCCAGATTTAAACTGCTTTTCCATCCTAGATGCCTTATTAGGTTAAACTTTAAAAAATTAATAGTAAAATATCCTATTTTATTTATTGAATACATTCAACTAACTAAACCTAGATGTTTAATTTTACATAATGCCAATAATTATGGACACTTTCTGAAGTCAGTTTTTTTATTTATTTGCTTTGCAAAGAGTAATTAGTAGACTGGGGTGAATTGTGTCCTGATAGTGAAAAACATTTAAGGGTGTTATAATTTGCATGTATATAGATAATTATCCAGGAATCTTTTGAAAAGCTGTAAAATGTGGAAAGGGAGAGATCACTTTCAGTGCTCATTTCTTGTAAGGTCTGCACTTACCAAAAAAAAAAGGAAAAAGACAGTTTTACAAACTTGTTTTTCTTTTCTTTTTTTAAATTTAGAAACAATCTTGTAGATCAATCCCCCCCAGTTCCTCTCTGTCCCATTGTCCCATGTCCCCCACCTACTCCCCAAGGAAAGTGAGGCCTCCCATGGGGGGGGTCATCAAAGACTGTCACATCATTTTACAGACTTTTAAAGCATTACAAAGCTTGTCCACATGGGGCTGAGGACATAGTAGAGTATATGTTTGTTTAGTCTGAGGCCGTGGCTTCAGTCCTCTCATCAAGATGAAATAATAAACGTCTCCGTTGTTATGAATACTTGTGTTGGGAAAGCTGTCTGGTTTAGCTATCTCCCACTAACTGATACTCTGTGACCTTTAAGGTACCTCTCTGAATTCCTGTATGCATGGCTGATGTCGACCCTGAGCCGTGCTGATGGCTCTCAGATGGCGGAAGAGAGGATAATGGAAGAGCAGCAGAAAGGCCGCAGCAGCAAAAAGACCAAGAAGAAAAAGAAAGGTGCTGTAGAGAGTCTCACTGCCGGGCGGGCTGGCTGAGCAACAGCCCAGTTGCCTATCTGCCTGGTGTTGGGATCGCAGGTGTGCACCGGCACGCCTGGCTCTGCGGTCTGCTTGCACAGGCGAGTGGGTGAAAAGCTCCCTGTGAGCTGAGTCCCTGCGGTCTGCTGGGCTTCTCTCACCGTCGTGCACAGACCACAAGTAGGCTGAGTGTTAGTGATGGGCGCCGTTCAGTTCCCTCACAGACCTGAGCACTGTGGAGTCTTAGAGCAGGAAGCAACACTCGGATCGTACAAGCAGAATAGATTAGAGATCTGGGCGCACGGGGTCCACCCTGAGTTGTGCTGTTGCATTGGTGTGGACAGGTAATCAGAGTTAAGAACCCCAGGAAGCAGGTGTTTCAGAGGGACTGCTGTTACTTCTTGCCAAAATTCTGTAAGCCAGCTACTCAGGGAACACAGTTGTTTTAAGTTCTCAGCTCAGCTGTATTATTTGTAGATTTTGGTCATAAGATAAAATTTAGAGAGACAAATTGAGGTTTAAGTTCAGTAAGTAAATGGGTTTTTTTGTTTTGTTTTGTTTTGTTTTAGTGGTTTTTCTCCTACAGACTTCAGGAGAAAGGGGAAAAAGAGTGTAGAAGATTTTTTTTCTTTAATTGCAGTTCGCCCGTTGAGCCGAGAGATCACAATGAGCCAGGCGTATCAGAACATGTGTGCTGGGATGTTCAAGGTAAGGAGTGAAGTCGAGGCCTCTTGCTGCTTCACTGTTAATTCCTTTTCCTTTTTTCTTGAGACCAGGTTTCTCAATGTAGCCCTGGCTGTCCTGGGAACTCGCTCTGTAGACCAGGCTGGCCTTGAACTCACAGAGATCCACCTGCCTCTGCCTCCCGAGTGCGGGATTAAAGGTGTGCGCCACCACCACCCGGCTTTAACTATCATTCTTACCTAGTGTATTTGAGGTCGCCTCTTGCCTTGATTCTCCCAAGGTCTCCTATCACCTATAGAGTTTCCCGTCTGTCTGAGCGTTACCTTATTCCGTTCTAGCTGTACTCCACAAGCAGTTGACACCTTGCTTCATGGTCGATAGCTCTAGCATTCCTGGGATTGTAGTGTGGGAGTGGGCTCTGGCTTTGCAAGGCTGTGGACATTAATCTTTAATTGTACTGACAGTTCAGGAAGGATCTGAGGTGACTCACCTGAAGTTACATAAACCAAGAGGGGACGCTGGCAAAGACACTGGCCTGTGTGATAATATGGAACTTGTTCCTTCACCATCTTTTACTTGAAGTCTTAAAACAGTGACAGAAACATGAGATGTTGGCGGCGGAGGGGGCGGGACTGGAAAAATTATTTTTTTTACATTAATGTATCATTTTCCCCTCTCCTCCCTCCAACTCCTCACATATCCCCTTCCCTCTCAAAGGCGTGCGTGTGTGTGTTCCTAACTATCGTCCCCCAGTCCACACACTGTTGCTTGGATGCACATGATTTCAGAGCTGACCACTTGGTAATGGGTGAACAGCTGGAGGCTGGAGTGTTTTGTATAAAGCATGGTGCATAGGTTAAAATGGATGAGAAGTATGGCTTCTGTTTAAGTTGTTACTTTTTCCCCTGTGCTGATGCACATGTTCACTTTTTCCGATGCATTTCTCTCATTGTCATTGTCTCTCATCCCCTTTGCCTTTAGACAATGGTAGCGTTTGACATGGACGGCAAGGTGCGCAAGCCCAAGTTTGAGCTCGATAGTGAGCAGGTTCGGTACGAGCACAGATTTGCACCGTTCAACAGCGTGATGACACCACCGCCTGTGCACTACCTGCAGTTCAAGGTGAGCTCTCGGGGAGGGCAGAGCAAGGTCTTAGGCTGGACACCATGCTAGAGGGTTGTGTTTGTGCCAACCCGTCTTGCTGGGCCAGTGGGACAAGTGCCAGGGTAACCGTCTTACGTGGCGTGCGAGGTATTTGGCCTTGTTGGGTGTAAGTCATTACGACGAGTAAGATACGGTGTGTGCAGGCTTAGGACTGCATGTCAGAAGGGTCCGGCTGAGGTGTGCTAAGTGTCTGTGGATGGGCGGTCGGTTAAGAACTCTGTGATAACTTCCAAGGGCTTCTATGAAATACGTTATGATAGTCTCCCTTCTGTTTAGGAAATGTCGGACCTCAATAAATACAGCCCTCCTCCTCAGTCCCCAGAGCTGTACGTGGCAGCTAGCAAGCACTTCCAGCAAGCGAAGATGATCCTGGAGAACATCCCCAACCCAGACCGTGAGGTAAGAGAGGGTGCGCTCTACTTAGGTGTCTTCTCTCCGTCCCTAGGGTCTCACGCTTAGTCCAGGCTGCTCTTAATTCCTGGTGACCCTCAGCCTCAGCGGCGATCGAGTTATTAGGTCTTGTTCTACCGTGCCCTGCTTCCATTGTAAGTCCTCGATATGAAAAACTACGTCGTCATTACTGTACTACATTATCCCATACTTGACCACTTGGAGTAAAAAGCTGTTGCAGTAAGACTGATATACCAGAATAAACTGTGAAAGCAAACATGGTTCAGGCTTTTGATGGTTTAATAGTTTGCACTGTCAATGTAACTGAGCTGTATTTACCTTGTTAGCACAGGAGTTGCTCTTGACACGTGTTGGTCACTGGGGGAACACTTGATTTATCATTATCAGAAATAACCAGTGCTGGGCATGGAGATGGAGTGTGCTTGCCTGCCGCACAAAGAACTGCAAATAAATGAATAGAGGGGGGATCACCTTTCGGGTACATGTGCACATGAATATGCTTGAATAATCAGCATGGAGGGTTTGAATTGCAAACTGTATGACTGAAATGCAGACACTCATAAGGTCAAGGAGATTAAGATAGCAAGGGTTAAACTGTGAGTAGTACAGGAAGGAGACGTCAAAATCATATTCTAGTTGGATGTGATGACAGAAGCAGAAGGATCTCTGAGTTCAAGGCCTACCGTGGCTACATAGTGAGACCCTGTCTCAAAAAGAAAGAAAAAATGTGTATACTCCAGCTAATAAAAATGGTAGTTGTAAAAATTTGAGGGAGGTTTAATAATAGAAGATGTCTTTCATTTAGTGGGAATTTCATTCATTCAAAAATTTGTCAAGCATCCACTGGCTTCCCAGCAGAAAACAGACACTCTGTGCAGACACTTCCACATTTGAGTAAATGCTAGAAGGGGAAGCAAGTCACATAGCTGTCTGGGATGAACCCTTCCGAACCCAGGACCCAGATGCAGAGCATCGCAGAGCAGATCTGTCCCTGGAGCGTTTGAGCAGCAGCCAGGGACTCTGTGGAATTGGGAGAAGCAAGGGAACAGTGGAGTGTGAGCAGAGAGCCAGCTGTGACTTGTGGTCCAGGAACACGCGCACACTGCAGAGGTGGAAGTCAGGAAGTAGGCAGCAGTGATTCGGGTGAGGGGTGGTAGGGGTGTCAACTGAGATACCTTCTCTTTGGATTTAAGTCTTCTGGGTTGACTCCTGGATTAGAAGTGGGATATAGAGAGTCAGGGATGACTTGAAGGCTTTTGGCCTGAGCAGCTGAATAAACTGATTTCCATGGTGACAAGATTGCTTTGGTGTGGGCCACAGTGTGTTGGACATGCCAAATTATGATTATTATAAATGTATTTTTGAGGGAAGGTCTCATCCTGTAGCTCAGACTGGGCTGGAGCCCCTGGGCTCCCCTCGACCTGGTGGGCCTCTTGGTCAGCCTCAGGTGCCGGGCTACAGCTATGAACTTGTGTCTGCCTTTGCGTTAGATGTCTAGTGGCGCTGCTGCCTCAAGGCGGGTGGATCAAAGAGCCCAGGCGCCCTTTGTGTTTCCAGACAGCAGTCAATATACAACAGTGGGAACTTGCTTACTTAAGAGAAAGGGAGAAATCGCCGTTACTATGATTCGGGTGTTTCAATGAAACTGTTTAGACTACAGTTGTCAGAAGTACATGTTAATGCTCCAGGAACACTCACTACTTGCCGGGGGTGTTTCTAAGCTTTAAATGCAGCCATGTACCGCGAGTGCAGAGCGAGGCTGTGCTCTTCAGTGTCTGCAACCACAGTCTATGTGCAGCACGAAACGCACAGATGGGGATGGCAATGTCTTCATTTCTGTGAGGATGCAGGCGAGGAGCTCACTGGTGAGAGGACTTGGGACAGGTGGTAAGGCTGGGGTGTCCTCCAAGTTCTGACCACGACGGCTGAGCACTCCTAACTGTTTCTAGGTCAGTAGGATCTTAAAGGTGGCCAAGCCCAACTTCGTGGTTATGAAGCTTTTAGCAGGAGGACACAAGAAAGAGTCAAAGGTGAGTGCAGCGTTCCCTGTGTGCTCTCAGAGAAGAGGGCACACCGTTGTGCACGTCATCCTAGAGGTGGGGGAGGTGCTGAGGGCAAAGCTTGCCGTTTTCCGTCAGATCATCTTGAGGGTTAGAACTTTTCTCCTGCTCCTGTATAAATTACTTGCTAACTTGGGGCAGTTAAACTATGAGCCAGAGTGTCAAGATGATCAGTGGGTCAGGATGCCTGCCATCCAGGCTGACCTGAGTATAACAACTGGAGCCTACCCTGCAGAAGGAAAGAGCCCAACACACACACACACACTCACTCACCATGGTAACAGGTCCTCACACACATACAAAATAAATGGAATAAAATATTTTAAAGAAAATGTGTTTTCACTCATCGTTAGTTTTTGAAACAGAGCTCACTGAATTGGACCTCACCAATTTAGCTCACCTGGCTGGCCAGCCCCGAGACAGCTGCCTCCACCTCCACCGCTCTTAGAATTTTAGGTGTGTGCCATCGTGCCCTGCTCTTTACCATGGGTGCTGGGAATCGGGTTCTCATCCTGCACAGTAAACACTGCTCAACAGGCACGCCCCAACCCAAGACTGTTTAGACAGGGATAAGATGTTAATGTGGGAGCCTGCCCTGCCCTGCCCTGCCCTGCCCTGCCCGTCACAGGTTAGCCTCTGGTGCAGCTCTGTAGCAGTTGTCTAACCCTAAAGTAAACTGCTGCCACCCTGACCTGGCTGAGTGCCGTCTGGAAGTGAGGCCATCTTCCTTTAGCTTTCTGGAAGTAAGAAACATGGTCAGATGTTTTCTGATAGAGAAAACCCCCTCATTCTTACTTTGCCATTAGGCCAGGCTCTCCGTTTCTGACCCATGACATCTAAAGTCGTGACGGCACTGCCCGCACATTCGCAGATGTATTTATTCACTGGCTTTCTTCATAGGTTCCTCCCGAATTTGATTTCTCTGTTCACAAATACTTTCCTGTTGTGAAGCTGGTGTGAAACAGACTGCACAGATGATGGGCCGTGTCCGCTCCACGGAAATGTCACTCTGCCACATACAGAGACGTAAAGTGGATTTCCTGGATGACAGCTTGTTACAAGGAAGATTTTCAGTTTAACACCCTTTCCTGGTGGCAATGAAAACTGCTGTTTTAAAGTGGTTTATTATACTCCATGGGTGTAACTGGGCTGGAATGCATTGGCGAACATTACATGGTTTTATTATAGACTTAATTGTAAAACTTTTTTTAATAAGTGATTGAGTGAAATAGTGTTTGTAAAGGTTAATAAATTTCTTGATACAATGCACTGGTGCTGCACTGAGAACTGTCGTGGACACCATCAGGCTTCAGTTACTCACGCTGGCCGTGGCGCTGCAAGCCTCTAAGCCAGCACTCGGGCAGAGGCCGCACGCTCAGGCTTCAGTTACCCACGCTGCACACTGTGCTTGAGTACAGTAAACACCAAGCAACCTCAGAAACTGAGCACAAGTTCCGAAATGTGAGTTTATTAAGCATTTAGATTCTGGTGAGATGTGAAATGAACTTTGAGGGGGGACGGACTCTACAGTACATGAGGATTGTGGCTGTGTTGTGACACGGGTTTGTAAGGATGCACAGCCATTTGTTTAAGGACCACATCACTCTGCAGTGTCTGCTGCCGGCGGGGGCAGTTGCGGCGTGTGCACTGCTGAACTTTGAGTCTGTCTGGATCTTGTCTGGATGTGGTGCACACCTTTGTTCCAGTCGGACCCTCAAGTGTACTGAGACGCAGGCTTTGTTCCCATTCTTGTTCTGCTGCCCGCTCCTTGGCACGGGCGTGTGTTGTGACAGGCGTCTAGGCCTGTGGTTCCCCTTTCATCCTCTGTGGGGGCGTGCTAAGCACAGTGAGCTACTCTGAAGTTAAACCTGGTTCTGCAGTAGGCCTAATGTCGTTGGCAGTTCACGTGGCTTATGGTAAGGAGAAGCCTGAGTTCTCAGTGTCCTAACTCTAATCTGACACTGTGGGTGATGATGCAGTCCAGGGCTTCACACACACTAGGCAGATGCTCTCGGGAACACCCTCGTAGGAATATTTTGAAACATGCCTGAGTGAACTTGCTTAAAACGCTAGTGAAGGTGGAGGTAAGGATGTTGCTGACTTCTCACCAGTACAGAGGTAGTCTGGCTCAGCTGCCAAGCACAGACACTAGGCAGCCTGGAGTTTTAGAGCCCTGAGGCCAGAGCGTTCTCACCTATTCTACTTGTTGAAGGGAAATCAGCATAGCTTGTCAGTCATACCTATACTTCAGAACTAAAAGCTAAGACGGGAAATGGGCACAAGAAGTCCTCTGGAGTAGAACGACTGTACGGTAAAGACTACATCTGAGGACCTTGTAGTACGAGGGTCCATACAAACACGGGGTTGTATGTCAGATCTGGGCGGGAAAAGCACCCAGCCTGGTGGTTTGGGCAGGGAAAGACAGCCAACATCTGCCACAAGTGATGAAATGTATGTTTTTAGAGAGAGGAATGATGGGCTAGGAAGACTGGACCACCTGGGCAGCCGCTTAGACTGCAGGGATCTTTTAGCCAGCCTCAGAAGGCATTCTCCAGGGGCAGACACCCTCACCCCGAGAGTGCCTCCCTCTTGAGAGCGTCACAGGAGGCAGGAATCCTCAGGCTGCTGCAGTCACACTGCAGCTGGTGAGAACCCCCTGATCAGAGTCAATGAACTACATTAAGCCTGTACATTTTCCAAACAGTACATAAACTACAGAGAATGCAGCTGGTGTGTTTCTCCTGCCTTTGTAGGTGTCCCCAACTTCAAACCTGGGTATCCCTCAGCCCGTCTTCCTGGACAACCTTAGCGACACAAGTCCCTGGGCCCCTGTCCTTGCAATGCTCCCTCTGCCTCCTGGCTGCGCGTGTAGCTGTTGTCCAGAGCCCAGTCCAGCCGCTGCCTTTCCTGGTGAGGTGCAGTGGCTTACTAGAGATTTGCCCTTACCCACTCAAACAGAAAACAAGGTTTCTGCCATAGGTGCTCACACTAAGTAACTTAATAGCGGTCTGAACATCAAAAGAATATCAAAGGTTATTTAAACCAGTAGTCTTCAAAGAAAGAAACCCCTCTCCCTCGATTGGTGATTTGAGACAAGTCTTACCTTCTTGCCCAACCTGACTTGGAATTTACTATGTAGCTCAGGCTGGCCCAGAGCCTATAACGGTCCTCCTGCTCAAGCTTTCTGAGTCCTAGAGTTAACCAGATGCCCTGGCTGTCTTTATTTGCTGCTTGTAAAGAACAGCTTTATACTGAGACGTTTTCAAACTGACGAGGGTGTTTATGCTGACAGTGAGCTCTAGGCCTTCGATAGTAGAATCCAGTGTGTACAGGAGAGATGAGCTGTTCTCGGCACCAGCGAACAGCAGCACAAGAAGGGGAGCGGTTGTTGGCCCACAGGCTGCTGTCTCACACGGCAGAATAATGAGGCTCTGCCACCCCTTACAGGACAGCCGCATTTCTCTCTTCAGTGTTGCCTGACTTGTTCCAGAAATAACCTGTTAAGAAAGCTTCACCAATTTTGACAACCTTTGTAGACCCTTTAAAAGAACCCCAAACTGTCTGAGACGGTCCCATTGGTCTTTGCTAAAATGTACTGATTAAACCCCATAACAATCATCAATTGTCCATTTCCCAGTTGAGTGTCTGTAGGATCTCCGTTCAGGCCTGTTGAGGAATATGGACTTCTACTTGATTTTGGATGAGCCTCTGCTTCTCATTCTCACTGGGTAAATTTATTGGGCCTCTCTTCTGATCTTCAGCATTAAAAACTAAAAAACGAAAAACAGCATTCCGATATTAAGCACTTGGAGAAACAGGCTCACTTCATGTCCGTTTTTAGAATTTTCATAAAGAGAATTTATCTTCCATGGCAATACTATAGCTTGGAATAGTGTCCCCATGAAGACAGCAAAAGAAACCGTGCATAAGGCTAACAGTGTGCCACAGACGGAAGCTGAAAGCCGCTGAAACGCCACCTTTGCCGAATGGTGAAATAGTGCAGCCCCCTGTGCTGTGTGACCCCCACAGGTTAGCGCTGACAGCACACACGCCTTCCCAGAGCCACCCGCCTGTAGATCCGGGGAAACTGCTGCTCCGAAGCTCACCCTACAGAGCTGAGGTCGAAGCTTCCACCTGGGGTATTGACAGTCCTATACACAAGCATGTCACAAGACTTAAAGCCAGTGTAACTGCCATGTCTGATCGCTGCAGTGTTGAGACTGCAAAGTTGGAGCTAATGTCTTTTTCACCTTATGTCCCCGGGGCAAGCAAGGTCTTAAGCTGTTTACTTCATTCCCATGCTTTGCTCCTCACTGTGCTGGGAGCCTTGCACACGATCAGAGTGCTCTGAACACCTGTATAGAGGATGAACGATCCCAGGCTTCCACCTCAAAGCCAGACACCTAGCGGGGTACTCAACTGCAGGGCTGTTACACTAGAACCAGAAAGAAGCCAGACAGTGTGGAGATAGAGACACCTTGTATTTGCTTAGTGTTTCCCCTGCTAACGTTATCCCTATGCCTAAAAAACCATCACCTATATAGTACATGAATATGACTTAAAAGTCAAACTGGGGTTTCTCTTTCTAGAAACTCTAAACTTCCTTGTTGAAACAAGTGACATGCAGGATAAACACTGAATTGTAAGAATACACTGTTGAGCCAGACATCCAGATTTAGGCCAGTACCCTTGAAAAGATGACCAAGAGTGCCAAGTAAGCCAGGCACGGTGGTGCACACCCTTGATCACAGCCCAGCACTCACTGGGGAGGCAGGCGGGGGCAGGCAGTCTCCGAGTTTGAGGCCAGCCTGGTCTGCAAAGTGATTCTAGTACACCCAGGACTACACACGGAAAACTTGTCTTGAAAAATAAAACAAAAAGTAGTGGAGCAATAAGTTACAGACACAAGCAGGACAGTAATTGCGGAGCATGAGTGAGCCTGGATGACAGAGATGGCGTCAGTTGGACAAACATTAACTATATTTGAACAACATTTCTTCATGGGAACAACTGGACTGTAATTACTTAAGATAATAACTTGGGGACTGGAGAGAAGATGCATGGGAATCCTTTTGTTACTTTTTAAGATTTAAAAAGATTTTATTTGTAATTACATGCCTGTGAACATAGGTACTTGTAAATACAGGGCCCTGGGAAGCCAGAGGAAGGTCCCCTGGAGGTGGAGTTACAGGCGGCTGTGAGCCGCCTTATGTGGACACCAGGAACTGAAAGTGGGTCTTTAAATACTGAGCCATCTCTTTCCAGTCCTGAATTTAAAAAAAAAAAAAAAACTATAGAATTGCTCATGGGCTGGAGAGATGGCTCCTCAGAGGTTAAGAGCACTGGCTGCTCTTCCAGGTCATGAGTTCAATCCCCAGCAACCACATGGTGGCTCACAACCATCTGTAATGAGATCTGGTGCCCTCTTCTGGTGTGCAGTCAAATATGTAGGTAGAACACTATATACATAATAAAATCTTTAAAAAAAAAAAGAATTGCTCGTGTGGTAATAAAAAAAAAAAGGCATCTTTGAATCCAAAAGTGAGGAGGGAGTAATGGGAATACTTAAGGAGCAAGCCGACCAGAGGATTGGATTTCTGGTGAAGCCTAATGATCCCTCGGCTTCCAAAGGTGTGACCTAAGCCTGAATTTGATCTCCAAATCCCACGTGATGGCAGAAGAGAAATGACTCTGACAAGTTGTCCTTTGACCTCCATATGTGCATACATGTGCCTACACAGATACAACTACAAAAAATACCTCAGGTTCTTCCTGAGGTAGGGAGTCAAGCGCATAAAACTGAAATCCCATTTTAAAGATTATTGGGGATAAACTTGTAGTGCAAACAGAACAGCGAGATAGGGTACAGAGAGTGCCACGGGACACTGCACATTTGAAATTCACAGTGCTTTATGTTATCAAAAGAACTGAAGAGTGCTTCCAGGAGTTAGGCATCATGTGTAGCACCCACATTTCACCTGGAAGACTACTCATGGAGTAGCCTGTACGCCCCCTGCACATGCCCCACGACTAAGGTTCAGGAAAGCTGGCACTCAGCTGCAGCATCAGAGGATGCAAGGAATCGAGAAACGACACAAAATGTCAGGAGCACCAAAGCTGTTATACTGAGAAACCCAGTCTCAAAAACCAGAATCCAAGAAGAAAGAAAACAGACCCCCCTGAACTGACCACTACTTGTGGTATTACGGTATCACCACTAATTAAAGAAAGGAAAGCACGTCTGCTCTTACCATATGTGTCTCTGTCGTTCCCTGCAAGGGCTGCCTGCTTGTCTCTCTCGGACTCTGCTTCATTTTCCTCCATGTTATATTCATCTCCCTGGTTCTGCTGGTTTCTCTCTGCAAAGCCAGGACACCAGACAGCCACATTTCATTCTTGATGCCACTGGGACACCGGCACAAGTACAGGCTGTTCCCAGACCCATACCTCAGAAAACAGCCGGACTCTGAACTTCTCCACAGTACAAATGTCGTGGAGAGTACTCAGAAACATGCCCCTTCAACACAGAGTCTAGAAAATTCAACTCCGGTGACTGAACCCTACCTAGCACACAAGGCTGTGGGCTTCATCTCTCTCTCTCTCTCTCTCTCTCTCTCTCTCTCTCTCTCTCACACACACACACACACACACACACACTCCTAAATAAACCATGATTCAGTCAGAAAACTCTGAAACTCAATGCCTCTTGGAGAAAGGGAATCAACAAGATTAAGGAGAAGCGACCACTGTTTGAGGAACTCACAGGCTAACCATGTGGGAAATGACAGTGGCTTCTCAGAATGACTCTAAGAAAGGAAAGGAGCGAGTGCCATGAGCCTCCATTCCGCGCACAGGATCGGACTGTCCGAGACCACATTTTGTCCTGGACAAAGCACGGAATTCAGACTAGAGCCGACAGGAGTCTCCCAGCATGGGAAGCGTGTTGTGTGTACACGGGAGGGCACAGGAACCCTTTCCTAAAAGGAATGCCTGGGAAATCTCTACTCTGCTCTTCCCCTCCAATGTACAGGCTGCGCAGAGCAGCTCTCAACCGGCGTATCCTCCACAGGACATCGTCTCCGCTGCGTGAGGGAGTGATGGCTGGTGCTACCTCTAGCTGTGACCCTGCATGTCCAGTAGTAGTCAGCTGCTTGAGTGCCACCAGAGTGGGGGGGCCCTCCCTCCCATCATGAGCACCATCTTGTTGTAGTTAGGAAGCAAAGCTGTGATCAATGACAGTCGGGGGGGGAGGCTGACAAAATGTACCCTCAACCAGAACAGCAGAGGACACGCGTTTCTGAAGGAATTGGACACATCCCTCAGGTCTGGTATTGGTCCACTCGGGGGCACACGTGTCGTCATGAGTGCTCCTGGCACCAAGGAATGGGGAGTTTCCACATCCTTAAGGCGATAGAATGCGCACCCCAGATACCTAGTTGAAGGAAGATTCCGCTCTTTAACGAGGGAAGGAAAGGCAGGGCTCACCTGTCACAGTCCCTCACATGCACTAACATCCCTCATTCCTCCTCTTGCCAGGTGCTATCAGTATGTCAACACACAGCAAGCAGAGATAGACAGGTGGCCGGCCTGCCACGAGGTAACATTTTATATCTGCCAAGCAACCATCTCAAGGTGTCACACACCTGCAGGGTCCCACTGACATTAATACTGTTTCTGAAAAACAAAATACTGTATTTTTGCACAACCTACCCTTCCTGTTTCCCTCTTGATAATGGACAACGAATAAGCAGAAAGAAATAAGTGCACAAGTCATGAAGGTCATTTGCTGAAATTCAAGATGGAGAAATTCAAATGGCAGGAAGCCTGGGAGCCCACAGAGTCACTCACCTTCCTCGGCGGCACGCTGCTTCTCCTGCCCTTCCTGGATGACAAGCTGGTAACGATCAGGGTACTGGGCATCCTTCTGAGGCTTGGCCAACAGGCCAGCTGGCACTGGTGTGATCTGAAGCTCCCCAGCTCCTACAACCGTGCCATTCACGGCGGCCTGTTCTTGGCCTGATGCCTTCTGCGGTCCCAGACCATGCTCCTCACTGCCACCCTGAGTCTGGTTGGTTTCCTCTGTGCACAGAACACAGATCGATTATTGCAAGAGCACTCTTTGTTTTTGTTGTTGTTGCTTTGGTCTGGTTTTTGTTGTTGTTGTTGTTGTTTGAGACAGGGTTACTGTGTGTAGCCCTGGCTGTCCCAGAACTTTGTACACCAGGCTGGCCAGAACGTAAAGATCCTCCTGCCCTCAGGGCCTGTAGAGTGAGTGCCAGTATTAAAGGCATGCGCCACCATGCCTAGCCGTGACTGGGCTTGGAGCACACACCTATCATCCCATCACTCCAGAAGCAGACAAAAAGATCAGATCAATTGCTAGCTTGGGCTACATTATCGGTCGTCAACCTGTGGGTCACAGCCCCTTTAGCAAACCTTTATCTCCAAAACTATTTACATTAACAATTTGTAACAGTAACAAAGTTACAGTTATGAAAATATGTTACGGTTGGGGACCATTACAACATGAACTGTGTTGAAGGGTCACGGGCACTGGGAATGTTGGGCTACATGGTGAGTTTTAGGTCAGCCTGGGTTGCACAGGAACTTATCTCAAAAACAAAAGGAAGTGTTACCACTTACTTCCTAGAGTACTGCCAGAAAGAGTGGTCACAAGGTGAGCTACATACTTTGAGGTACCTAGCTTACCACAGGTTTCTGTGCTGCAGCTCATCCACAGATTAAGTAGCAGAAAATTTCGGGGTGTGGTGGCACACACCTTAGACCCCAACACTCAGGAGAGGCAGGTGGATTTTCTGTGAGTTCAAGGCCAGCTTGGTCTACAAATCAAGTTTCAGGACATCCAGATCTAAGTTGAGATCTGTCTCAAAACAAAACCCAACGAACAAAACAAGAATCACAAAATGACATGGATTTGGGTACCCGGACACCCTGAGGGCGAGTGCTAGGCTCTCATAGTCATCTGTTTAGGAGCCGCACCAGCCACCGAGGGCTTGGCCTCTGCACTGAAGTCCCACAATCCTCCGGTACCCTGGATTAAAGTACCCTCTCTGTACCTGTACTTAGAGAGCTGCCAAGGAAGTCAGCACTCAGCTGACAAGGACAAGGCGTTAATAAGACAGAGTGGGAGCCTGTGTCCCCTATCCAGGGCCCCAAGAGAAGTACCACCAGCTGGCCACACCGCCCCCAGTGACTGAACGACCCGCCCGAACCATACACTGCTGCTTGAATTTGGAGGACATAAAACCAATGGCTGTCTCTCTGCACTTACCATTCTGTGTGTGTGGTTTCAACACCTCTGAGCTGGCGGCTGGTGTCTGGGACTTGCCTGTGGGCACGTCCCGTTCCCCCTGAGCCACCTGTTCCTCTGGCGGGACTACTTGCTGAGGCTTGGGGTCCTGGATTTGAAATAAGCACAGAACTACAAGAGTTGGTCATGGGACCCTCACTGAATCACCAGCAGGCAAGAGCCCCCTAACTCAAACGCCACCGTCTACCCTGTCCCATGGCATAGATTAGTAGACTGTGGTTAAGTCCAGGTTCTCCAGAAAACACACTCAACAAGGGAGGAAATACAGGGAAATGTAACCATCCCAATAAGCCAAGTTACCTGACCAAACTGTCTACAGCACCCAAATAGTTTGGTCACACCTTTAATCTCTGCACTTTGGGGGGCAGAGGTGGGTGGATCTCTCAGTCAGAGGCCAGCCTGGACTACAGTGTGATTTCTAGGACAGCCAGAGCTACACAGTGAAAACCTATCTCAAAAACTAAACAAACAAATAAATAAATATTTTGATAGAAATGAGGAAACAGTTTACTGGAATTTATAGGGTTTTTTTATACAATTTTACTGGAATTGCTGCAGTAAAAGCAATGCTTTTTATAAACGTATTGGTAGCATTGGTTGTGTATATGAGAAAGGAAGTTCTGTAGCCAAGGAATCAAGACTGTACCTTAAGAAGCCATGAAGCCAATTAGCAAATTAAATCCAAAGTAAATAGAAGAGAAGGTCCATGAGTTGGCTCATAAATTAATTAAAACAGGGGAAAAAATCGAATATCAGTGAAAGCGAAAGCTCACCCTGTGAAAAGATAATGCTCTGACACCAGAGGGTCTGAGGGGATATCACTGTGGGCCCCATCACTGGCCAGGCTGACCCTGGCCTGAGCTTGGCACCCTCAAACAGCCAACACAGAAGCAGGGATGTTAAAGACAAGGGCTCTGAGCTTGGGGCCGGCCTACGTGGCCGGGGTCTGGGCATCTTGTCGCCAGGCTTTGCCCCACAGGGAGCCACACCCATGGGGAGAACAGAGCAAAAGCTGAGGAGAAAGAGGTGGACCCCCTGAACACACCCCATCCAGAACAGACCCAAATCACCTGCTGAGGTCGGTCGTTCCTCTCCCCTGTGTCTCTGGAAACAGCTGCTTCGTTTCTCTTTCGGGTGACCTCCTCTACCCGTTCCTCACACTGCTCCTTCACCTCTTTCACCTGGTTGATACACTGGTTCCTGGGGAAGGCAAATGGGAGGGCGTGTGGACGTCCTCAGCGCTCCCCGGCCCATGCCGGACCCCACACCCACAATCCACGCAGCGGGAGGCAGAACATCCCTTTCTTACTCCGGACACGGCCTGAAATGGGGACTTGCTAAGTATCAGATGGATGGGAGAGAAACACTGGCTACCAGGTAGAGTGTGCCTAAAATCTTGTGGTTCCCTGGTGCTGAGAGCATCTTCCTCACCTGTGAGGTCTGTGGGCCAGACCTGTGGCTGTGCTGATGAGAGGACTCATGGGGGTAGAGGGACTGGACAGACAACGATGCCACCGGTCATGTCTACATAACAAACCCAGCTAATGTCTCTAGACCGCAGGGGGTGCATCACTCCTGGGCTGGTAATACACAGATACAGGGTTGAGCCCTGACTCCGTGGGAAACAAAGCCCCCATTCCCAGACCTTGCCTTATAACTACCACTGGTGGCTGTTCACCCATCACACGTTTTGTGATGAAAGCCTCATAGCAACGCCGTCCTCAGCTCTGTGAGCTGTTCCAGCAAATTATCAAGGAGTATGGCAGGTATCCCTGAATTTGCAAACCATCCCGTGGGTGGCGGGGGACACACAGTCCTTGTGACTGGCCTGTCTTAAGAGCTTGAGTCCTTTAACCCATGGGGCAGCATCCGGACTGACTGGGGGGGGGGAGACACACGGCTGTCAAAGACCTTCCCCTGAGATGCACTAGAGTCTGGAGCCTTCCACTTGGAATCTAAGAGGGTTTCAGCAAGGGCAGAGCAGAGCAGAAACCACTTGCTAAGCGGGGAAGCTAAGAGGTGCCCTGTTCCTGCTAGAACCAAGAGACAGACTCAGTTCCCAGAAGACCGCTGTGTTCTTTCTGTGCAGCCTGGCCCGAGCTGGAAGCGCTCCGGAGCCTCAGTCCCGAACGTGGAGCGTTCCCTTTGGCAGTTCGGGGCATCATTGGATACAACAGTCCATTCGCAGAAGGGAACTGGGAGATAACGGGAACCTCGGGCAGACGAAGCAAGCAAAGACTTCACTGAAAAGCTTCCCACAGTCGGTGGAGCCGCTAGTGACAGACTCGCAAAAGGGGCTGGAGCACGGCGGATAAAGAGAAGCAGCTGGCTAAGGAATGGACGAGCGGGCCACCTCCTACTCCTGAGCCTCTATGCCTGCGCAGGGGAAGTACCGGACTGGGCTGAAGCAGGAAGGGCCGCCCTCCAACTCTCGGCCATGCAAATGATATCCACACCCCACAGCCCAGCTCGAAAGCAGCCAGGAAATGAGCAGACCTCCCGGTGTGAGTCTCGGATCCTGAGACACAATGGAGACTGAGTAATGTGACTCCTGGGAGGCCCCGGGCTGGCTCTTTCACACGTGTGTGCTGTGCAATGATCTCTTTATATACCTGAAGATGTGTCATTCTGACTGCTGCAGTAAAAAGTCATGTGACCCACAATGACCTCTTGGCCCATGGGAAAACACACAGGACAAGTGAGACTGTACCCATGTCATCGCAAGGCCACCGCAGTGTTCACACAGGGCGACTGCCTACTGGCTCAGTGCTCGGCACCCGCCCTGCTGTTGTGAAACCCGTTAATGTGCTCCAGACATCACGCTTTTTTGCAGGACTGGGTTTTGAAGCAATCAGGAACTCAGGCAAGCCACTGCTACGGCAAAAGAACAAAGGTATCTATCCCATGAGGCTGGCCTGTGTGAGGCACCTACTCACCCTCAGCTGCTGGGGGACCGCACACCCAGCTTTACACTCTTGGAAAGCCGTTAGGAAAGGACGTACTGTGTCGTGATCCCAGCACTTGGGTGGGAGATCATGAGTTCCAGGCCAGTCCGAGCTAATACAAAATTTGAGGCTAGCCTGGGCTACACAGGAAGCCCCATTTCAAAAATAAAACAAGAAGGAACGAAAGGAACTTGGCAATGTACATCTAACGACAAGCTAAACCTAGGCTGAGGTGTCTCACAGTAGGAAAAATCCCAAACAGCTTTTAAATGATGAACACTCTGGAGCTCTATGAATTTTGCATGTATAAGGCAAGCAGACTTAAAAAACAGTAGTGTGGTGTTTGGGCTGAGTGGTGGTGGGTGGACTGAGAAGCCACCTCAGGTGAAAAGAGCAGCTGGGGTTACCCACAGCTGTGAGCCGCCACTCGGGTGCCGGGAACTGAACCCGGGTCCTCTGGTAGTGCAAGCCAGTGCTCTTAACCACTGAGCCACCTCTCCAGCTCCACACCTGACTTTTTATTTTTTTAAGTGCTCAGATTGCCAAGGTAAGCGGTACTACTGTGCTTTGTATTGTCATGGTACGTTATGGTACGATGACAATTCGTTTCCTGCCGGGCACTGCCTGTGTGTGTGTGTGTGTGTGTGTGTGTGTGTGCCTCTGAATGCACATGCATATGTGTACCCAAACGTAACCTTTCTTACCCGTGTAATGAGCCCTTACCAAAACAAAATGCTGGTTTTCTAAAAGACATGCGTCCTAGAAGCCATAAGTCTCTTCTCACACACACTACACACAGTGAATACCAGTCTGTGACAGGCAGGGTGAGCAGCTGGACTCTCCTTGGCCTTGGATGCACAGAACCCAGACCCTCTTCCCAGGGGGGTGGGGTTTATCCCCCTCCTCCAAGGGGCGGGGCTTATCCCGAGCCACACACTCACAGATCATAGGTGAACTTCATCTCCATGCTGGACTGGTTCTTCTGGAACTGGTAGATGTCCTGCTGCAGGATGCCATAACTCCTCTGCAGAGCCTTCAGCTGGTCTAAGCCAAGCCAGAAGGACAAATCAACTCCACTGGTGTCTGTGTGGCTGCCGTGCCACTCAGACGCACGAGACAGGACAAAAAGGAGCGAGAGAACAGCCCCTCCCTGCCATCACACCGCCAACCACCGAAATTCTCCCCCCACAGAAACCTGCACCTCAGTCCTATCTGATTTTTAACTACTAGATTATCTGTGCACCACTGGGCGTGTGCAGAGGTCAAAGGTCAGCCCTCTCCTCGCCCCGTGTGGGTCTTGGGATCAGACTCGGGTCGTCAGGCTCAGCAGCAGCAAGTGATTTTTCCTGCTTGTGCCCTGCCGCCAGCCAGCCCTCATCCGTGCGTTATATACACACAGCCTTGAGGGTAACGTCATACAAAGTTTTAAATAACTTTGTGCGCTCTGACCTTGGCCTGAGGTCAGATGTGGGGTTTTTCCACAGGTTGGTGCTCAGAGTCTTGGATTAGGAACGCTCATCCAATTCCATTACTGGCTTGGTGGTGGGGAATGAACCTCAGGGTCTTGTAGACACCAGGCAAGTTGCCCCATACTCAGCACACGCCTCCCGGTATTTGTTAAAAGATTCATAAACCTGGGGGCTGAATTACGCCCATCATACCTTGCAACGTCACGGTAATATTTTTTTTTTTCTTTTTTCTTTTTTTGGTTTTTCGAGACAGGGTTTCTCTGTATTGTTTTGGAGGCTATCGGTCCAGCCCGGCCTCGAACTCACAGAGATCCGCCTGCCTCTGCCTCCCGAGTGCTGGGATTAAGGGGCGTGTGCCACCACTGCCCGGCTCACAGTAATGTTTTATAAGGATGGCTCAATTACCGCTAACACAAGATCATAGTGACAGAGCCCCCTGAGGCCATCGTGAGGCGTTGGGACCAGGCAGCTGCTGGGCTGGCAAGAGGGGGCTTACCTTGCAAGTCTCTGATGAGCTTCTCGCTTGTGGTGATGTTACTCACTAACAGCGCCTGCAAGGAAGGCAAACACTGCAGGGTCAGACAGCGCTCACCCAAGCAACTCAGCCCTCAGAGCATGTGTCAGAGGAGGAGAGCGGCACCCGGCCAGCCATCGGGCAGCCAGGCCCTGCTCCACCACACTGCCCACCCACAGTGGCACACTTCCTTCCAGCCACCCCAGAAGTAATCAAACGGACACCTCAATTCTAGTTCCCAAACACCCCTCCCAGCCAGCACAGCCTCTCCCTGGCCTGCAGACTCCAGGCAGCTCCTAACACGGTCCCAGCCAGTCACGATGTGGGGAAGAGGCAACAGGGAGCCACGACACAATAAAGAGGAGAGAGATGTAAGTGTGGATGGGAAGCCGGCACACGCCGAGGACTCTGGGTCAGACAATGCTGTCTGCACCTCACGCCGCTGTAGGAGCTGGACAGGTCGTTATCCTATGGCAGGAGATGGGCACGTGGGCCTAGACAGTTTGTTCAAGTGGCTCGATATTAAAAAGGCTGAAGAAGACACAAAGGCTACCATACCAGACACACCCCGCAGAATAGGCTCTTAGCAGCTGTTCTGCGAGTGCCTAGGAACCTGAGCAAGACAGGTTCCATGAACTGCACCTGTGATGTCCGTGGCGTCCGCGCCACCAGCGAGTCCGAGGCGTCAGGAAACGAAAGACAGGACGTCCAACCGTTTGTGCTAAAAGAATGCGTCTGCCGCCTTTATTGCCAGGAGAATGCGCGTCTGTATGTCTGCCTGTGTGTGTGCCGTAAGCAGTGAGCAGCCTTATAGACAGACTTACGGCACAGTGGAGAAACCCCAGGTGGAAAGCGCGTGTTTTCCTGGTGTTAGACATTGATGTCAGGCGGGCAAGGCAGGGGCTGTAAGACGGGACTGGAGAACACAGGATGCACCTGTAGCTATCAGCTGACAAGCAATGCACAGAAATCCGTGGGGCTGGGACCCAACAATGTTAGCCTGAGGAGTCCCTAGAGACATGCTAATGTGTTCCTGGGTGTTGACTCTGCAAACTGGTGGGAGCTGTGTACCGGGAGAATAAGATCTGTCCTCAGAGTGGGTGGATTCTATCCAGTGAGCTTGGTGCTAGCGAGAGCCAATCAGGGCAGAGGATTTCCACTGGCTCTCTTGGCTATGGGACATGGGGCACGGTGTGAGTGAGTCACAGCTGTGAGTCTAGAGCCTGGTCTGGTCTTAGGACTCCAGGGCTACCACTAGCAGCTGTCATTCCTGGCTCTGGGGCTTTCAGACATGGGAGTGAACTAATCTCCCAGTATCCAGTATCCTGGGATCTCCAGTCCACAGGGAAGCTGGTCTGGGACTCCTGGACTCCACAACCCCATGAGGCGATTTCCCTGACAAGCCCTCTCATAACGGGTCAGTATAATTGAGGGCAGAATGCTAAAAATAAATATAAATATGAGAGAAGGGAGACAGACACTAAACATGCTCAGTAACACGCACAGGGCCAGGCCCGGTTAGTACTTGGATGGGGACTGCCTGGGAATACCGGGTGCTGCAGGGGGATGGAGAGATGGCTCAGAGGTTAAGAGCACCGGCTGCTCTTCCAGAGGACCTGAGTTTAGTTCCCAGCAACCACAAGGTGGCTCACAGCCATCTGTAGTGAGACAGGAACCCATGCTGAGAGATGAGATCCAGCCAAGCCCTGTGCTTGCTTTGGGAGTAATTTGGGCAATGGTAGAGAAGTCCCCAAAGTGGTATTGGTAAAAAAAAAAAAAAAAAAAAAAAAAACCCTCTACCAGGGAGACACTTTTCTAGAGAAGTGTTTCTTTTACACACGTAAAATGATGAGAGAATGAGGAGACTGCGGGACTAGGAGGGTCCACCCTAGGAAGACGACTTCCCCAGCTCCAAATTCCTGCTGCTCTGGGCAAAAAAGCATTTCCTAAACGACATGGATGAATCTGTCCCTGATCCCACAACATATACATACATACATACATACATACATACATACATACATACATACATGCATACATACATACACACATACAAAAGCATTCAGAGAGCCCTCAAGCCACCCACATTCACTGCAGTGAGGTGAAGTGTGATCTAGGAGTCCAGACACGGCATGTTGCGTAGCCTTTAAACAGGAGATTACATACAGCACATATACAACACAGATGAACCTCCAAGACTTGGGGGGGAGTGAAAGAACAAACCAGTCACAAAAGGAAATTCTTTCTTGTTTGTGGTTTTCAAGACAGGGTTTCTTTCCTTGTGTGGCCCTGGCTCTCGTGGAACTCTCTCTGTAGACCAGGCTGGCCTCGAACTCACAGAGATCCACCTGCCTCTGCCTCCCGAGTGCTGGGATTAAAGTCACGTGCCATCACTATCTGGCTATAACAGGAAAATGCCAGCTGGGCTCCACTCACATGAGCAACCTCAAGTGGTGAAATCCCAGGGCAGCCGAAGGAAGTTTCCATTGCTGCGAGGGGAGCGAGGACGGGTGTGCAGTCAGTGCAGTCTCCGTGACACAGATGTCCACTGCACATCCAGGTGAACCGATATCCCTCGCTGAGCTCACCCTTCCCTGCTACCTTGCCTCTGGGAGCTGCAGCCGTCAGGAGCTACCAAAGGCATTTCTGCGTCCGCACAGCTATCATCCTGCCAAAGAAAACGTCTTCTCCCCTTTCCTACTTACTTATGAACAAAGGATCATGGCCTCCTGAGGACATGAAAATGGGGCCACAAAAGGCCGCCGAGTTTTCTGCGTATAATTTTAAACTTATAGAAAACGCTAAACTGTTTTCAAGAATATTGAAAATGCTTCCTAGCTTGTTTGTTTGGGGAGGGGATGGGAAACTGCATCCGCGATTTTTATACTTTTTATACTAGTCTGCTAGTATCTGGGCCATTCGTTCACACAACCACATAACGTGCTTTGGTTGTATTTACCCTACAGTTATTTTTAAATGACATCGATATGTTCAACTCTAGACAGCCAGCTCTTCCTCCTACTTTGATCCTGAGTGATTTTGGGGTGTCCCCGTACAGTGTCACCAGAATTAAACGGAAACTAAACCTGCTAGTTATCACACACACAAGTTTATCCCAGCCATGCTGGTCTGGAAACAAATTATTCCTGCATGAGATTCTTGGAAAATTAGCTCAGTGTTTCAGAGCAAGCTCCCAGACAGGGACAAGATGGAGGGTTTTGAAGCACAGGGCTCAGGGAGAGGAGCCGGACACAAAGGACACTGTACAGATCCCAAGTGAACAAACCACACACACGCAAAGTTGACGAGAGACTTCAGGGCTGGAGACAATGGGAAATGAGTGTGACGGATGGCCGCACATTATTACAAATGACAACCGTGCGGCGGCGGCGGCGACGGCTGGTACATTAAAAAACGTATCTGTATTTTATAGGTGTTTTGCCTGCACATAGCGCTCACAGAGGTCAGAAGAGGGTGTGAATCCCTGGAACTGGAGTCACAGACAGTTGTGAGCCGCTGTGTGTGTGCTGGGAACCGAACCCAGGTCCTCTGGAAGAGCAGTCAGTGCTCTTAACCACTCCAAACTGCTGAGCAGTCTCTCTGGCCTCCTGACACATTTCTAAATGGCCAGGATAGTATTGGAAGAAGATTACCATGCACGGGATAGGGACATCGTAGGTTATTTTTATTGGGGAGAAATCACCTACATGAGAAACCAATAACCCAGGGTCACCGCTCCGAGCACCCAGTCTCAGCTGCTCTCCGAGATCCAACCGGAATGTCAAGAGAGAGCTCGCCTCTCTCTCTCCCCTCAGGCCTATATCCCATGCACCCCAAATGCACCTGTGGCACATCAGCGCCACAGGTACCTAGTAAGATCTCTCCCTACCATTCCCCTTTTAGTCTAAAGAAAAGATTTAGACTTGATACCAGACTATATACAAAGATGGCAAAATTCAAGTGTGCTCTAGGAGAAGGCAAAGTAGGAGCGCATACACTTAAGACCCACAGCCAGGGAAGCAGCTACAGCAAAAGGCAAGAACTCCATATCCAGTCCTAGGGTAAAGGCATAACAGAGATTACCATACAGCTGTCCTAAGCTGGAAAGTTTAAGTCCTGTACCTAATATTTCTATCTAGGAAGAGAGAACAATAATTGTCACAGTCTAATCTTCAGCCTCATCCAAGACCTGAGAAGGAGGATAACAATACCAGGGTAGGCAGGAAGTGCAGGTGAGCAGCATCCAAAAGTGCAGAGAAGACAGAGACAGCAGGCTGCCTGGACAGTCACCCAGAGTCTCACAGCAGCGTAGGGGCAAACAGCTTTGTCTAAGGCCTGGAGTATCAGACTGACCAACACAGACGCAGGGAGGTAGAAAGGCTGTCTAACCCTGACTTGGCAAGGTTCAGCAGTCTTCTAATTTATCTCCTGCAAGCACAGTAGGACAGCATGCCCAAAGTCAGCAGTCAAGGTGAGGTAGTTCTTTGCCCAAGAGGCCATTAGCCGAGGAGAGAATGGACTCCAGAAGGAGTGACATCGGTGCCCAACATTTTCTTGGGAATAGCTCAGTGCTGTCAGAGCAACTGTGTCTCACGTCAACAGAGTACTAATAATAAAACATTTAATGTCATATTCTGCAGGACTGTGAAGTGTTTGAAGATCAAAATCTTAATCTCATAGATACAAGAATGTGGGTGAAAATATCTGTAATTCTCAGGAACCTAGTTGTACAGAGGCTTAAGCTTCTTAAATAATTTAGCAAGGACCAAGATTACAGCAATATAACTATATACACATATATATGTAAATCTCTAAGACAGAGGTAGAGTTGAAGTGCCTTAATCAGAGATAGAACTGTATAGTGCAACATGATAGAAATGTACTAAATTGTGTCAGTATGCAAAGTATCTTAAACATATGTAAAAGCATATATACACAGAACATGATAAGGATATTTGTGCATCAAACATCGTAAATAGAAAGAAGACCTTACACAGTATGACAAAATGTGATATACAAATTATCCAAGAAAGGAAT